CTAGGTAATCTTGAATGATTTCATCATTCGCATCAAATTCTTTTATTTGGCCATACAGCGCCATAATTCTAGAAATAATTAGCTAATAAGCTCTAGCAAACCTCTTTTTTGCGTAAGTAGGTGCTCTTTCTAGTAGATGTTTATCCTTCGTCGCCAAATGACGTGGATTGTAATGACTGACGAGAAGCCGCGTTGGTTGTTAACAGCCTTTATTATATACAGACGCCATCATGCAAAGAGAGAGAGAGAAATGGCGAGAGAGAACTATTTATAGATAACAACATGTAAGGGACATCACTCAAGATAACAATATAAATATAATACTAATACAGAGAGTGAGTTCCCTTGACCTCACAATTAACTCAATCTATTACAAGCTATAAAAGCTTATTATTATGAATGTTTTTATACATGTATTCTATTTTGACACGCGCATATTGCTTGTTAGAAAACTCAAACTGTAATCAGGATATGTGGTTTTACATGAAGGAAGGGAGACATGATTTTGCTATATTGTTACATGTGAGTTACATGAGTTCAAACCAATGGTTTTTTTTTTCAAACAGCCAATTATTTTAATTTACATTTTCTTGCTTTATTTCCATCACTTTAATGATAATTAAAAGTTAATCCAATGTGATGGTAAGCAGTTATATTAAATACTCAAATTTAAATATTAAAATACAACTTCAAAGTAGAGCTTCACCAGATCTACTATGACTGTTTATATTACAAAGGCACATTATAGGTAGCAATTCAAGACTAACTTTAATTCAAAATCACTAAAATAATTAAAATTTAGCCAACACAGAGAGGCAGAGATAGGAGAGTGAGTGATGGCTTACTCCAAAAGTTCAGAGTTCAAACTCTGGCCAGGTAATGCTTGTTAGTTGAGGACAACAATCCACCAAAATCAAACAACTGGTACCTAGTAGTTTGTTCTTGGATAGACAAATCCGGAAAGAAAAGCAGGCTGGAATCAGAGTAAATGGCTTGTTTGAAACAAAGTTTTTGAAGTACCAAATATTATAAAGCCAAATATGGTTGGTGGCGGTCTATGTTATATATGGTAACGTGACCTTTCTAAAAAATTCACCTAACTTTCCGTTATGTACATCTACTACAACTAAAATTAGTTATCTTAGCGCCAACTAAAATTTTGTTTACAAGTTTGCCACTATACTGAAATAACAGTTTTTTTTGTTTTTACTGATGTTAAGGAACTATTTTATTTAACTTGTTAAGCAATACTGTAATATATCAATTTTTTAATCAATGTAAATCTGTGAAGCATCACCATTGTTTGCTATAAATTCAAATGCTGAGTTTAAGAATACATAAAACTATCCAAGTAAATTCTATATGAAACAGCAAGCAATCCAATTCTTCTACAACAGGGGTCTCCAAACTTTTCAGTCCGAGGGCCGTATTAAATATCAAATTTCAGTTCGGGGGCCAGTTTCTTCCAGGCATGTCTTTGAATTTTCTGGGCAAAGTTTCTCAGCCATCAACAACAAACGATTGTTCCTTGGACAAAAAGATCTCCGCGGGCCGGATGAGAGGACTTCGCGGGCCGCATCTGGCCCGCAGGAAGTAGTTTGGAGACCCCTGTTCTACAAGGACATAAACATGTTAATAAGATATTAGCTTACCCATCGTGAAATTCTATAATATCAGAAGAAAGGTAATTCAAGGACACTCAATATGATACCACTCATTTGTTACCAATGGTGTATAACAGATGATGCTATACCTCATTTTGTGATTTCTGTGTGATGATTGGACCATATACAATGGCTGCTATTGTATGAACAGTTCATTATGTGAAAGATTTAAAGATAAAAATGATGAACAACGTCCATTAATTACTAAGACCAGCAGTGCAGTACAAATATCAGCACTGGATATCAGTATGGGCTAGCATCTACTCTTATGTACTTAATGTGTAGTATAATTTTCAGTAGGTTAGTGCTTAATTAAATTAGTTAATGCAGCTTGACTTAGTCACCCAACCCCCAACAGCTCAGGGGGTGCTCTGTGAAAATCTTGCGTGAGTATTGTTCAACCTCACAAAGCAGCAACACATACACTTTAACTTTTAAATTTTAACTTTCATATCACCTGCCATTCCTCAATAACATGGTTTGTTACAGAAATATAAACAAATCATTATACAGAAAATTGCTTGTTACTTTCACTCTTGACAATCCCATGTTATACAATTAAAATATCCAAAAATAAAGTAATGGAATAGTATTATAGTTTTGTACACCATCATGGCAAACAATGGCAGAGACTAATGTTGAAGAAAACAAAAAATAAACAATGAAAACAATATAAGAAAGTGTAACAGAACATTGCACACATACAAAATCTACTATAATAATAATGGCCATCAGTAACCATGTTAAATATGTACAGGATCGCCAATAATATTTAAACCCAATTTAAAGTCTTAAAAATGTTGTAAATAGGCACACAACACAAAACTCGACCTAAATAGACCATCAGGTTTGGAAGGGGAACTTAACTTTTGCTTTACTACTGATCAAGACATCGGCATATGAAGTGATAGTGTGGTCAGCACTATGCCCATCCGTCTTTACTTTCTATAAGGAGAGTTAGGTACCCATCAGAGCTGAGGGGACTCAGGGATGGTCTACTGACATGAACCCAGATTTTAACTCAAGACTTACAGGTTAGCAGTCTAGCTCTATACAGCAAGGCCCTTTGATAAGTAAAGTAGTAAAGATAGATCTAAATAAAATTTGAATGAAGTAGTTCTTTCTTCATATTCTAAAATTGGAAGATAAAGGAAGCTAATCTTATTGAAGATGCCGTCTTTAGTATTGTGTATCATTTTCCACATTCCATTTTTTTATTATATTTTTTTTGTGCTACAATCAATGAAGCCATTAGTGTTGTGAACCTTCCATAGTTTTAACTTTTTATGAACATTGTTGCATAATAATATTTTTCTATTTGTTTCATGTGACGTCATTCTTTTTGCCAGTGATAGTTTTTGTGCTACTTATATGTTTTCCATTGCGTTCTTGTCACAACCATAAACTCTTCTCCAGTTGCATGATTAAAGATGTGTTTCTACTTTCAAATATGCCTTTATTTTTATTTTCCATCTTTAAATAAAATTTATTTTTTACATTTAATACATCCAACATATTATTTTCAACAAAAGTCTGTATCTTTATGTTCTCCATATATTGCTGAAGATACTGATCTCATAGCCTCGGAAAATAAGTGACGGACAGAGAGAGAGAGAGAGAGAGAGAGAGAGAGAGAGAGAGAGAGAGAGAGAGAGAGAGAGAGAGGTACACACATGGGTTTTTATATATTAGGATATATATATATATGTATAAGTGAAGCTCCTCCGCATATCTCCTTCACCCTACACTGGGCTTCTACCTCCACCAACATCTTCAGTAAGCTCAAGCTGATTTTCAAGGTATTTACACTTTAAAACAAGTTTATTTCTTTGCATTATCCTGTATTTTATATATATATATATATATATATATATATATATATATATATATATATATATATATATATATATATATATATATATATATATATATATATAATGAGAGAGAGAGAGGGACAGGAAATACATACTTTGTAGTGTGACTGTGAGGGTTATTATTAGAAACTGTTTTATTTCTATAACAGAGATTTTGACCTTCAATTTAATAATAACTCGTTCCATCTGAAGTAACTGTTACTATACAAATCCACGTTCAGTTATAGCTAAGATTATTTATTATAGATACAAATCAATTTACTTCTAATCCTAACTCTACTGGCATCTACTATCCTATACACTTCTTCAGCTATCTAACTGTTCAGACTATTACTTTTTACTACTACTTAACAATTTACTAGACTCTAATCTCCTAAATAATTCAAGATCCAAAACTCAACTTGGGTGGCTCCTAACTGATAACGCTTCACTAACCAACTGACCAGTCAGTTCAATTCTATTTGATTGAGCTTTTCAATAGGTTCTAACTTTTACCTGCTCTAAACTGCTTGAACTAATTCAAAATATATCTAAGTTTGCATAAAAACATTGTAGTTTGCTTTGCATTGTGTAAGTAGTAAAGTATAGCAGACAATTTGTCATTCAAACTTCTTACCTCCCCCCCCCCCCCCCCCCCCGAAACCTTCTCGGGAGTATTCATCAACTCCCCAAAGTATTATGGCATTTGAATAAACGGTGTTGAACCGCATATGACTTTAAATTTTTTAATAAAATGTATATAGAGAAGAATTGCAAACTCCTGGGGTGCCGCCCTTGCAAAATTAAAAAAATATTTTTCACAGAAACCTCCCCTGGAGTGTTCTAATCAACTCCCCAAAGTTTGATGGCTATTGGATCAACTGTGTCAAACCGCAATCGATTTTATATTTAATAATCGCACCCTACCGTGACGCTCCCCTGCGAATTTGAAAAAAAAATTTCCCCGCAGAAACCTCCAGAGGGGTATTCTCAACAACTTCCCAAATTTCCATGGCAATCGGATGAAAGGTGTAGTAATGCTTAAAAGACAAACAAATAAACAAACACACATACATTGCTTTATACTTTATATTTATATATATCGATAGGCCCCTATGTAAATCGTTATACATTTATGTGGTTATTTACTATTTAGTAGTGGATCTATTTACTAATACTGTGTAGACTTTGGGGACCTATTAAAGTAATTAGTATTTATAGTAATTATGCCTATGCTATAGTTTACTAACATAAGTCATAAAACGTTAAGACTTAAACTTAAAGACAATGTGAATTTAGGTGTAGGCCAACTTACTTAAGATTACTTGGACTATCATTAGATATGTCTTAAAAGTTACTGATAAATTAATAACACTACTAAAGTTCAAGAAGTATATTAGTATAGGCATTGGGCCTAATTAATAATTATTACCAAGGCCTAAGCCTAATTAATTAATTATTCAAATGATTGTGATTAGCTTACCTGCCCTTTGTATATAAATCCATGACGCTCTGCTACAGCTTGGGCGATCTCCTCGCCACCCTTTACGTGTACGGCCCATAGGTCAGTGAAGTGCTTGCCCACAATTTCCACGATTAGAAAAAATCCTAAAACCAAAACTTTAACAACTTGAATAGATCCATGCATTGTGTTGGTAAGGGCCGGTCGGGTGGAAGAGATAGGAAATAGTTCCTATCTCTTAATGTCGCCGTTCCTTGTTTTGAGGAATCAGCTTCCTCGACTTAGACTATTTTTATTTTTTGTTATCGACATTGCTGATTGCTGTCATCAATGAATCACGTTTTCGGTTTACCATGACAACCATTTTCCAACCATTCATTTTTTTTAATTAAATCCCTAAATTATAGGTAATTAATAACAATTATTAAGTGATTCACTATAAATACAATACATAGTATTAGTACATACATACATATGCTATAGTCTAGACCTATACCAATGGTGAATCCTTAGAAATAACGCATTCATATTTCATTATCTATTAAATCAGCAACACGGTTTAACCATTCTCCATAGTGTATGAATTCACTGCTACAAACATGGAATCGACAAGAGATGGAACATTATAGGCTGACCTCCCTTTCTATCTCTCTTGCTTTCCCTTCGGTTCGTTCCCTAAAACTGGGACGAGTTTTGCGTTTGGTTGATGTTAAAGCGGCCTTCGATCGATTGCAAGGTACTGTGGGCGCGTTCAGAATTCGTTAACAACAGACATACTGAGGCTGCGTTCTAGTCATTTCATTTTTACAAGGAATCGCGGGAGAGTAGGCCAGTGTTGTCGGTTCACGCAGTGTAGCAGCAGTGGTCGTAGAGTCGTAGGCAAAGCATATAAAGTATACGCATAGATACAGTTCAGGTGTGCGTGAGGTGTATTATTAGAAATAGCTAGAACTAAGTCAAAAGCTGGGCTGCCATGACAGTGCTGGAAACTTAGGTCTATGCCTACTTAGATAAAATAAAAATATTTTGAAAAGCTATAGTAAATGTAAAGTAGGCCTATTGTAAAAGCTACAAATTTAATTCAGACAGACGTTCTTTTATTTATTGGTGAATAACGACATTGAAAACATAAACATTTGATAATCATAATTTATTCGATAAGGGGGCTCCCATAAACTCCAATAATTAGAGGGAGAGGGTCGTAGTTTTGTGACGAGGGGCGAGAGTGAGGTGGGGGATGGGTCAGAAAGTGTCATGACACACTATTTGATTTTTTTTTAATTAATGTTAGTCTAACATTATTAGAAACTAAATTATAAAAAAATTTCAAGCGTTTATTTAACTTGCTTTATCTTTCTTTTATCTGTCGTGCTCAGTGTTTCTTTCAGACTTTTTAAAAATATAAATTCCATTTCGTTCGGGGGGGGGGTGCAGTTTGCTACCCAGAGCTTCTTAGCGGCTATCTTTGTATGTTCCGTTGATTGTGGGTCCTGCAGAGTAAGGGGTACTACTTAATTCAACTGTCAAAATGCAACAGGGTGTACGGATGACACAAAGCAATAGAGCACCCTGCAATAGAGATTGCACCCGGTTACCTATGGTGCTGTACTTACGTAGGGTTAATTACGTACATTCAGGGCTTTCGTATATCACGCCCAGCATAAAAGATCCGAGAAAGATACCTTTTGTGTCGCTCACATTTTAACTGTCTCAGTTTTATAAAACAATGTGATACTTCTAAAAATAAACAATTTGTAATGCGTTGATGAAACCCTTAAACGATGTTTTGTCCCCCTGGTATGTACGACTAGGTCGCAGTAACGCGGAGGAGGACGCTAGTTCGTATAAAAACTATTTAGCATGCCATGGTGATTGATGAGATTTTGATGTCTATGATGGAATTTTTAAATCGGATTATTTGCTCATTGTGGTGATGTTATGAAACAAATTGCAGATCTGTCCTTTGAGTCAGTAACTTGGCAAGCCAAATTGGATCGCAGGCAAAAAAAAAATAAAAAAATGAACGTAACAATGTGTGTATACTTAAGTGGAAGATTAATACTAAAGGAAACATTGATTAATTTTATTTTAAAAATTAAATAGACTTTTAACTAAGTTAAATTGTATGTCACAGCACATTGTCATCGATTCTTTACCTACATGAAAAGTTTGAAACAAACCGATCCAGTAGAAGTGATCTTTGAGAAATCGGAAATAACGTAAAGTACTATTTCTGGTCACCGAAAATCACTGAAAATTTGACAGAATCAAGATAGTAAGATCATATATTAATGAAACGATACTAAGGTTATTTGTATATTAGAAACCAGAAATTACATGTACCATTTCCGGTTATCGGAAATCGCTCAAAGTTTAATGAAAACTACAAATTTGATATACAACGTATATATGAAACGGTAACTGAAGCAGTACTCGAGTTACCGGTTTAATTACATAGTTAAACTGACAGGATTTTTTTTTTAAACTTATTTTTCCGGCACCGGAAGGTTATAAATCTCGATTCAGATTTGTACACGATTACAATGCATCTTTTATATTCCGAATACGATAAAGTAGGAAGGTGTAAAATTATGAACAGTGTCAAAATATTTGTTAATTGTTTAGCACAATTACATGACTTCCTCAATAAGTATACGAGAAAGTAATTAACCTGCTCAACACCTGTTATTTCTCAATAACACGGTTGGTTACACAAATGACACAATCATCAGAGTCTAATCATTAAACAGAAAATAGCTTGTTGCTTATTTTCCCTCTCCTGGCGAACAACAGCACTAAGTGAGATAATTAAATAAAATACACAAAGTAGGAATAGTATCACGTAAGAATATATAGACTTTCTACCTTTGGAACAGGGTGTTCCCCAAGGATCTTCTCCATTGGGTAACACTATGTAACATCTGCTTAGGCCACAAAACCACTGTATAATTGTTTGATACTGCACCCCCCCCCCCCACACACACCACGACCAAATTTAATACGATAACATATGGATTTTAAACAAATGTACCCGGGATCGCGGCGTTTTATAACCTTATATTATTATATTATATATTTGCAATAAAAATAACTTATAGCAGTACTTTTTATTAATATTCTTGATAGCAGGAGTTTAGTGAATTAGAAAACAATGTAAGTAAAGCATCGCTCCATACCACTTCCAACACTACCACCCTACAGAGTTTCTTCCAGGCATCTCTTCGGGAGGGCACCCCCCCCCCCCCTTCCACCCTATAGAATTCACATTATTTTTTTTTATTTCATTAAACAACTAATTGCAAATTTTACGAAGATTGATTATTCCAATCTATTTAAGCGTCGAAGAACTTAGGTTGAAACTGCGTTTAACTTTCTTTGACTTTTCTCATTTCTACTTTTAAAATAAATCCTTTTAAATATGCAATAGTAGTGTTAAAAATAACTTAGCAATGCCCTATTTAATAATAAATACCCGTCAGACTTTTTTCTCCAGGGGGGGGGGGGGGCACTAGATATGTTCGAGGGCGGGGGGGGGGGGGGGGGGTCGGACACTGGTGAAATTATGTTTTCTATATAAATTCCATTTCGTTCGGGATGGGGGGGGGGGGGGGTAGGCGGTAGACTTTCTTCGGCCTGGAAGAAACTCTGATACCCGGCCGTGTGCCTCGGGAAATGCGCAAAAACGCACTAATGAACGGCATCGTTTATATGTGACGTATTTGCTTTGTCTACATCAGACCTGAATGAAATATTTATGATTAGTCATTATTAATTAATTTTTACAGCTATTTGAAAACAGAGTTTGTAGTGAAACAACAGGGGAAATCATTAGTATACATTCCTAACGCAGTTGCGACCCTTTTAATAAGTAAAATTGAGCTGAGTTGGTGCGTCATTTTAGAATAGAGTAGAGGGTCTGGCTTTTTGTGACGATGGGGATTGGAAGGTAAAATCTTCCCAAAAAGCATGACATCATTTAGGTCTACATCAAGGCCAATAGATGAACCCCAACATATTTGTCTATTCATAGATTACATACAAAAGAACCTAGATTCATCATAAAATTATGGCATATTTTAAAGTTATTAGTCCCGTGTATTATGTTTATTTATGCTAACAGAATAGAGGGTGGGTGATTTCTCATTTTGTCATAGGAAGAGTTTCTTCCAGTCATCTCTTCGGGGTCCGCCCCCCCCCCTGAACGAAAAGAAATTTATATAGAAAATATATACTTGTCCGCCCCCCCCCCCCGAAGAAAGTCTACCCCCCCCCCCCCCCCCCCCCCCGAAAATTTCAAGTGCCCTCCCGGAGAAAAAAGTCTGGAAGAAACACTGGTCATAGGGTACTATTGTCCCTTTCACTTCGTGTGTGCCGTGGCGACACTGGATGTGGTAACATGTAGCACTATGATTATGTCTATATACTGGATTTATTTCACTTAAAAATCAGACTTTTTTTTTAAAATTATTTATACAGTTTGGTGTCGCCTCCATGAATGGTGTCACTCGGTGAGCTCCGCATTCCCCTCCCCCCGCCTTGTGACGCTTCTATTTATATATATGCGTGACAATTGTTTACTTATTTCCAAATACTAACTTTAGTACTCCATCCGATGTTATTCCGTAACAACGCTTTTCGTTAGGCCCTATAGTGATTTAGATAATAAGTGCATTATTATATATTTAAAGAAAATTTAAAGAAAATAATTGTTTTTTCTACTTTTTAGGGCATTATTATATAAAAGCTTGTAATCAAACGTTATTTTAATTTTACTAATTTTGTTTCAATACTTACAAGTTTTCGATCCATGACGACAGATAGTCGTGGTTAAATTAAACAAAAAGCGTGTAAAAAAAAGTTGACGTCAAGTGAAATCCAACCATTCAAAATAGCAGAAATTTTGCGAAAAAAAAAAGAACATAGAAAATCCAAGACATTGTTATAAATACACTATAGCTGCATACCCGTGCTTCGCCACGGTGAATCTGTTTTAAATGTGCCAAGTTGGGAACAGAGAAAAACCAAAACCAAACACAAACACAACGCAAACGAAACACGCAACACACATACAAACACAAAAGAAAACGCAAACACAACGCAAACATAGTGCCGATATTTCTTTCTGAACCTTCGGGGGTGGTCGGGAAGGCGGACTAAATTTTCCAGATGCATTGGTCTTTATATTTTTAAATATAGATTCTATTTCGTTGGGGGGGGGGGGGAGGAAGGGGGTAGACGTGCCCCCCTCCAAGAGATGCTTGAAAGAGAGGAGTCATCCATTTATGACGTCCACAAAAATTTGGGCTTTTAGACCTCTTCCCCCCCCCCCCCCCGTCCACTTTCGACGAATTCCCCCCCCCCCCCCCTTTTTGTGTGGATGTTCACAACAATTTAGTAGACCTCTCAAAACACGCTGCAAAATTACTAATTCATTTACATGCAATGTTTACATTAACTAATCATGTAATTTAAGGATTTGATATTTTCGGTAACATCTCTAGGCCTAAGTAATAATTGGTAGTTAAACTTTTCAAGATGTCCGTAAGTCTACGGCGTGTTAATTTACCGTGTGAATGTGCCAAGACTATCTAAAATTGTTCTTTATTGAAAGAGTAATCGCGCATGGACGCTGTATACCCTGCCTCTCGATTTTAAAGGCTTTTTACTTACTATTTGTTATAATGTCAGAGATTGCAGGCAGTCATGCATCTTTTTTAAAAATTGAAGATGCTGTAGACCGAACTTTTTACTGTCATTTGTGGCCGTCTTTATAGCTATCAACGACCATATGGGTTCGGGTAAATTCGGCTTATCGGCATGACGTGATTATATTACTTTTACTCAACTTTACGCTGCTTGTGTTTCCATAAAAAAACCGCCTCTCCCCCCTTTTTTGAATGATCGCGCTGGCCGTTAGCCCTACACGCCTGACTAAGCGAGCACATTATACACGCGCTGATATAAAAATATCTAATTGTAATGTGGTTATTTAGAGTTTTTTACTTGAAAATAAAAATAAAAATGACTAGATCTACATCATCTTAGGCTTTGACACTAAATAATGATGTAGGCCTACTACTTAGTTACAATTGTTTGAAAATCTTTAAAAATAAACTTGAAATACCATGAATTGTTTTAGAACATTGCCGCGGTCACTGCCCCATCCCCTCCCGCTTGTAAAGAATCGCAATTGTCAGTATGGAAATTGCGCTAAAAAGTTGCTTTTTTTCCTAGGCGGGCGGTCTACAGCTACATTTCTGGTACATTTACCACGAGAACTGCCGTTTAAGTTTAATGTATAATCTACATTTTATATGCATTTTAAAATTTATTTTTTAAATTATCAAATGTAAGTATTTTGTAGTTTAACTCACGAGCCCCCCCCCCCCCCCACAGTCCACAAAAGTCGACTTTATTCGGAAATAAAAATTATATACTTCATTATTAATATATATTTCAATCAGAGTTTCTTCCAGGCATCTCTTCGGGAGGGCACCGCCCCCCCCCCGAAGAAAGTCTACCGCCCCCCCCCCCCCAACGAAATGGAATTTATATAGAAGATATATACTTTTGACAGTGTCCGCCCCCCCCCGAAAATTGTTGTCCACCCCCCCCCCCCCGAAAATTTCAATTGCACCCCCCCCCCCGGAGAAAAAAGTCTGGAAGAAACGCTGATTTAAAAGTGCCCCCCCCCCCCCCGAGATCCCTGCTACTAACTAGACCTACAGCACAGACGTTACAGTAATACACCACTTTTTGTTCGTGAGACAGAGTTTCTACAATTTTTTATCATTTACTAGATCTAGATTCCATCAAGATCTATTAAGTATTGTTTTAGTATGCACTAACGATAAAACGCACTGCCAGACAGAGTATCAGTCAATGGAGAGTTTAGATCTAGGTCAATACTTATTCTAGATCTAGATCTAGAATCTAGATCCGAATACAAGATCTAGATTAGACCCATAAACAGTGGCGTAGGCAGGGGGGGGTTAGGGGGGTCATAACCCCCCCATAGACGGTATATAGAAAAAGTATGGGGGGGGGGGGTGCAAATCGAAAGTTTGAGGGGGGGGGGGTGCAAATCGAAAGTTTGACGGGGGTGCAAATCGAAAGTTTGAGGGGGGGGGGGTGCAAATCGAAAGTTTGTCCCCGGGTAAAAATTTGGACCCCCCCCCCCTTGAGACGATCCTGGCTACGCCACTGCCCATAAATCTAAATCTAGACTAGATCTATATCTAGATTCTACTAGATTCTAGATCTAGACCGCTACCCCTAGTTAGATCAGGAATCCAGAAAATATAGATCTAGATCTACATCTAGAATCTAGATCTCTGGATCTAGAATAGAATTATAATCTATGACCCTAGGCCCTAGGCTTAGCCTAACAATCTTTCTCAAATTTTTCAGAACTCTTTTGACATAGAAAAACATTTTTTTGAGATTACATCAAGATTTCTAGGATCTAGATCTAGTCTAACTCTAACACTAACTCTAAGTCTAGATCAGAGATCAGAAGATCCAGACACTCTAAGAAATTAAATTAGATCTATATCTAGATTCTAGATGGATCATGGATGGATTCAAATTCATTCAAGGATTCCAATAAAACTCTTTCAACTTCAATAATTCTAGATCGAATGTTGTAGATCTACTGTAGACTACTCACTCAGTCAGTCAGTACAACTGTCGTAGTCGTAGAGTCGTAGAGTATTATTATTAGGCTAATTATTATTATTTAACTATTTAATATGAATATGTAGTATTATTTAGGTTTAGGCCTTCCTCCCTGGTCTAGATTATAATTATATTATTTAGGGGCCCTAAAGTTAAAGTAGATCTAGAATCTATGTTTATTCGAAGTGACTACTCGGAAGATTTTTCTCCCGAACGTCTCCACTTAGTCTGCAAAAGATAGCTCTGCGCATGCGCAGTGACCTATGGCTAGGGTTAGGGCTAGAATGAGGGTTAGGATTAGGGTTGGTGTTAGGGTTCTGCGATTGTAAACACGCATGCGCAGTACCATCGAAAACATCGCAGCGGAGGAAAGTCGTAGTTTCTCTCCATTGCGCATGCGTATCTTTTTTGGGCTAGCATCGGCCATGTTTATTTTCTAGCAGGAAAACTCAGAACTATTGAGTTTAGTATTTTCTGCCAAAAGATCTTTTTCTGAGTAGGCCTAATCACTTCTTTAATTTTAATAGGATATCGCCTAGCTGTACTTTTAGGTCTAGCTGCTAGATCTTTCTACACCTACTATAATAATACTACTACTGACTTAACTACTAGACATCTAGATCTATCTGTGTATGGCAGAAATAAGATTAGGACTCATTAGTACAGCAAAATTTGGCAAAATGCATATATTCGAACTTTGCCATAGATAATCTTCTTAACCAGACATTGTATTATTATTGTTTGGGGATTTTTTTTTATACTGATAGATAAAACAATATCTTTGGAAGCTTCATGGGCAATATTTTTTGCGGAATTTGTTTTTGACGATATTTTATGCCTCGGTGAAGGACGCGAAGTATGCAAATCGTGACAGAAGGGATCTACTTGAGTTAACATGTACTTATAAAATTAGAACAATTCTTTTTCATAATTTGATTGCTTTAAATGGATTTTTTACATTAAGAAATAAATGCTGTAAATCATAATGTAATAAAAAGTTATTTTTACCATTTTTAAACTTTTATATGAAAAAAACCCAAAAAAAGCACATTGATTTATGATACTTCAGCATCATGGGAAATGCAGATTTTAATAACTTTACAGGAATAAAAATTGTAGGTTTAAACTTTAAAGCATGTATTATGATATCAGTTTAGGTAAATCTATTTAAATTTGTAAATTTTATATTTTATTTTGCTGTAGATGTAATTAAATTTTTTTAAACATTAGTCTGTTGTGAGGAATAGATCTTCGCACAATCTTCATGCGAGTCTGTTTTTTTGCAATAGTATCGAGGGCTAATTCCAAAAAAATCAAGTCCTTCCTAATCTAATGTTTATTCTTAGATAAAATTGGGGACAATTGATGGAACACATGAGAGATAACGAATTACTATTTCTTTAAACCGCAGAATTTTTTTTTTAGTTCCAAGTTAAAGATACCCTTTGCTTCCCAACTATTCACAGGGCAGATAAGGGTCGGCGTGGTCGAGTCTGTAAAGCTAAACTAAACAGTCTGGAGTTCGAACCCTCAGGCAGATGAGGCCGGTTAGTTGGAGACAGCCACTCTTCTTGGAGAGACAACTCCAAAATCAAACAACTGTTGCCTTGCAGTTTGTTCTTGATTGGATAAATACTCCAAAAATCCAAAAAGAAAAGCAGGCTGAAATCGGAGCAGAGTTTCTTCCAGGCATCTCTTCGGGGGGGCATTGCCCCCCCGAAAATTTTTTACCGCCCCCCGAAGGAAATGAAATTTATATAATTTATACAGAAAATATATACTTTTAACAGTGTCCGCCCCCCCGAAGAAAGTCTACCGCCCCCCCGAAAATTTCAAGTGCCCCCCCGGAGAAAAAAGTCTGGAAGAAACACTGAATCGGAGTCAATGGCCTCAATGGCGCTTAACCAGTTGACACGTATACTTAATTGTGGAGGAGGGGATCCCTTCCAACACTAAAATTAAGAATGAAGTTATTTTTTTTACTTGTCATTTTCTTGACGGGCATATTTTTGGAACTAGTGCAATTTCTGATAAGTTATTTTTGGTTGCTCTTTGTAGATGTGCCAAAGTTTTAATCACTTTTTTATTTTATAGAACACTCTATATATCATCTAAATATCATCTAATAGATTTTTAAAGATGTTTTATTTTTTTTAAATTGTTAAATATTTAAGAATTAATGTCTCTTTTCATATAACTATTAGTTATTGGATGTTTGATAAAAACAGGTTGAGTTCAGATGTTTAAGCAGGATATTGAATTGGTTGTGACTGTGAAGTTTTTACCACTATGTCGAAATCTAAACTTTCAAATCTTCTGAAAGGCAAAAGTGTTCCAAATGTGAGTATTGTTGTTCACATTCTATATTATTTATAGTTGTTTTTCTTATACTTGACTTAATGATTTTGTTACTTTTATATTTAGATAATATTCTCTTTCCTTCTTCGTTTTCTCTTCACGTTAAAGCCTAGGGTCACAGTTCTCTTCTTAAATTCCAGCACTTTTTTCTTCCTCCACACTTTACAAATTCATTTTTATCTGCATGTTTTTTTACCATTAATTTTCATGCCAGTGCTTGCTTAGTGATATTGTTCGTTTATTTTGTTTTAGAGTACTTTATTTGCAATATCTCCTCATGCATGTCAATTATTGAGATTTGACATTTTATATATATATTTTTCAAATTTTGTTTTACTTAAAAATGATCATGATTTAAATTGTTTTAAGTAAATAGATGCTACAACTTTATCATTTACACTGGCCAGGACAATTTCTTTATATAGTTTCTAGTTGCATCTGGACAACTGATAAATAACAAAGAAGCAATACTAATACTATGGATCTTGTTGTACAGTCTCCATGATTTTATTTAAACAAAGCATTTGTATTTTTATCCACTCATACCACTTTCTTAAATGAATATCACTCTCTGCTCTTTCCCAATCTATTCAGTCAGTGTACCTTGATAACTTCATCCTAACTGTGACTCTGGTTCACCTTAATAGCCTTAAAAGTGCAATGTTGCTACATTTTGTTTAAGTGACACTTGTAGAAAAGTTTTTTTATTAGTGACGTTCACATACATTTGTGGTAATAAACTACCTCACTGATCAAACCTATTATATACCCTAGAAAAGGTGTCAAGGTCCATTATTGGAATAGTATTCTCAAAAGGACTAAGCTGAGTTAATAACTGTAGTCCATGAACTGTATATTGTTAAAGTAAAACTAATGTCTAATTCAATCAGCACTTATGTCTATATATTTTAATATGGCAAATGAAAATTTTATTAATAAACATAAAAATTGTAATAATAAGCAAAAAAATTAGTACTGATCATGTCATGATTTATGAGACTGCATGGTCAGTCAGGTTTCAAATTTTTTCGATATATAGCTCAAATAAGGAGAATTTCACTCACAGTCACTTTTTGGCCCCAGCCATGAGAGCAGAAGCTGACCAATAGTTTATCCATAAGGTCGATTCATTTACCCAGGTCTATGGCAAAATTGAGCCAGATATACAGAGCCAAAATACCCTTAAAATGGTTTTGCAAATAATCGTTTTTCACCAAATTAACAGTGTTAATTAGGGAATTCGGACTGGTCACTTCTAAAGCCCTTCCAAAGTTTTCACGAAAATAACGCTTGTTTTTTAATTACCCCGCTGTAATTCTACGACATCAGGAGTTATGTTTGGGTTTGTACATCCAGACATTGCAAGCTGTTTTCATTGGATATATTTTAGACATTTATTGAAGCAAAAAGATATAGTTGCAGTTTCTTCCTATAGTTGATTTTTGCTTTAAAATTCAAGACCATAAGTTTATTTGATGTTTAAAAAAAAGCAAAAAAAAACATTTTAATAACAAGGTTTTTACGTAATATTGCACTAAAAGGGAGAAGATAAATTATTTTCTATAAATATACAATAATAAACTAATATTTAAATAACTATAAAGAAAAGCATGGGTCACTATATTATCTATTGGATACCTTTACTAATATTTTGGAAGAAACACGAGCTTTTCATTATAGTTATTTTAATAGTAGTGTATTATCATAAAGAATTTTATATATTTTAACCAGATTAGTGCATATGCCTCACCATGGACAAAACAGGATAAAGATTTAATGAAAGCAGTTGAGCTAGGAAATGTTAAAAAAGTTGCTACTTTGTTGTTCAAAAAGGCCATTATCACTACAAAACTTGGACCAAAAGGAAAATCTGTGTAAGTTTTTTAAACCCTTTTTCAAGTGTAATGAGTGGTTAAGGCTTTGTGGGTCAACTTGCAACATCTTATTTTAAGTTTTCATTTAAAAACTTTCTAAAAATGTAGTTTCTGTATAGGTTTCATGCATAAATGTTTAGATTTTGTTTCTTTTGTTTAATAAGAATACTCCATGTATAAACATGTCAAGACTAAGACTTTATTTTTAAACAAAATTAAAGACCATCAGATTTACTTTTGTTGTCTATCCCCAATACAATGTACCTTTAGTAGTCTTGGGTTGTATCGTTCACTTCAGTATCTCATTATAGCATTTAGGTGTGTCATTGCAAAAAAAATTAAGTTGAACAGGTTGTTTACAGATGAAATTGATCTTTAAAATATTTTTCTACTTTATATACTTCCACTTTGTAAAGTGGTTGTTTTATAAAGACCATCGGATTTACTTTTGTTGTCTATCCCCAATACAATGTACCCTTAGTAGTCTTGGGTTTTATCGTTCACTTCAGTATCTCATTATAGCATTTAGGTGTGTCATTGCAAAAAAAAATTAAGTTGAACTGGTTGTTTACAGATGAAATTGATCTTTAAATATTTTTCTACTTTATATACCTCCACTTTGTAAAGTGGTTGTTTTATAGACGAATCTAATCATTTTTATATTTTCAACTCTATTTAGATTCCACTGTGCATGTGAAATTGGAAATAAACAAGTTGTTGATTTAATTTTATCTAAAACTCAAGATGTCAATGACACAACTTGTCAAGGTCAGGTATTATTAGGGAAAATGTTTGATGCAAATTGAAGCTCATGTTTTTAAGTTTAATGTTTGTTAGAATTGAGTTATTGCCAAGCATTTGTGTTAAGAAAAAAGTAAAATGTAATCAACAAATTTGTTTCAATTCATCTCTTTCTTCAGTTTTGTTTGATTAAATGTTTATTTTTCAATTGATAAATTGATTTCTCCTAGGTATCACAGCATTACAGTCTGCTTCAGCTAGAGGTCATGCCTACACAGTGGAAAAGCTTTTACAGGTTAAGTTGATAAAAAAGATTACTATTTTAAGTTACATTAAAATGTAATCAAACATGCTTACACATTTAAAAAAAAATCAATATTTAAGATCCTTTAATTAGTATTAATTTGACTGGTGTGTTACATAAAGTTTTATTTGTCGTTAATAAAAATGAATAATGATGAAACTTTTATGTAGCAACATGCAAGTGTAGACCAACGAGATAGCAATGATATGACAGCACTACACCATGCATGTGCGGGACAATATTTAGACTGTATACGTATTATATTGCATGCTAATGCAAATGTACAGCTTGTAGATCAGGTATATGATAAGTTCATTACACATTTTGCTATGAATAACTTAAATTTGGAATTGAATAAAAACAATATTAAAAGTTGTTATTCATGGATTCATCAGTTTACTCATAAAATAACTTTGTTAATAGTAGTTTCAAAATTGTCTTTTTTGCTTGTAAATTTTTTAAATATCTTAAATTAAGCATGAAAATAAAATAGTATATTATTTCCTTAGGGTGGAAAAACACCACTTCATTACTCTGCTCACAAAGGGGGTCCAAACTGTGTACAAATCTGCAAGTGGCTACTAGAAAGAGGTGCAATTGTTGACTCGCAAGATAAAGATAAAGTGTAGGTTTTTATTACAACATCTAGCCTCAATAAAAGCTGTATTTATAATTAAAATGAGATGCATCTTGTGTATTTGGGCGTCAAAAAATCATTAATATTTTTAAATTATAAGAAATATTTCAATAACAGAATCAACTTTCAATCTTTTAGTACACCCCTTATGCTAGCTGCAAAAGAAGGACATAAAGAAGTTTGTGATTTTTTACTCAGACGTGGAGCAAACCCACAGCTCAAAGATAAAGAAGGTATCTTATTTGTAGTTTCCATTATTTTAGAACATTTGTGTATGTAGGTGTAATTATAGAAATATTTAAATAAAATACATTTAATTTTACAGGTTTTGTAGCTTTGGAACTTGGCTTAAAAAAAGGTCATAAAGAACTTGAAGATGTTTTTGAAAAAGCTTCATTGAGGTCTTTTGAAAGTAATTCTGAAAGAGGTAATTTAAAAAAATCAAATGAAAATATTTATTTTTTAATTTACACAGCAGTTTTAATAATTGTCTTGATTGAAATGGTTATTTCATAATTAGTGACTATATGGCTGGGTCCAGGAAGTTGACAAACCTGCTTAAAATTCTAATATCTATACAAAATATAGACTGTGTTGCCAGATGCTGAAAACTTTAAGAAGACCAAACATAAATTAAACAGATTATAGTGTGACCACTGCCCTATACTGCCATAACAACCTGCTACACCTGGAAAAGATATACCACTAGCTGAAAGAGATTCCCTACAGACTGTTACCCACCTTAAAAAAAAATAGCACCATACTACTTCACACACTCTTCAAGAAAATGTGAGATGAAGAACAAATACATAGAGTGGAAGGAGGGACTACTCATAAAACTTCCAAAGAAAGGCAATCTTAGTGCATGCCCTAACTATAGAGAGATAACACTTCTGTCCATCCCAGGCAAATACTTTAAAATACTATTATTAAACAGGATGAAGGAAGCGGTAGACCCCAACTTTGAGATCAACAGGCTGGCTTAAGGAAGGAATGATCATGTGTAGACCAAATTGCTACCCAGTGCATCAACATTGAACTATATTAAATTCATAGATATCGAGAAGGCCTTTGATAACCTGTACAGTCAATGGGGAAATAGTTGAGACACTATGGGATGCCATAGAAAGTAGTGAACATCATCGTGTCCTCAAAATGTAGGTCTGAAAAGTAGAGTAGTGCATGGCCAGCAGGGCCTTCCCTGTATGGACTGGAGTAAGGCAAGGTTGCCTGCTTGCACTATTCTTCTTCCTGCTGGCAATTAAGTGGATATAACATTGGCAGAGGAAGCCCTAGAAGAAGTGGATAGTTTTACCTACTTTGGCAGCATTGTTGATCAGCAACACACTAGTAAAGCCTATTTTACTCTATGGAGCTGAGACATGGAGAATAACTGCCACCTACAAGAAGAAAATACAATCATAAACTCATGCCTCAAAGATCCTGACCTAACACTATTAGAAATGAGGTACTATGGCAACACACTAACCAACTTTCAGCTGAAATGGAGGTGGGTAGGCCACACTCAAGAAGCCTGTATCCAGCATAACAAGACAGGTCCTCGCTGGGGATCCACAAGACCCAGAGATGTGACCTGGAAGAAGACACCAAGAAGATTGGATACACCTGGGGACAATAGGAGAGACAAGCCCTGGACAGAGATGCCTGCAAAGCTCTTATCAGCTGCCTATGAACAAATATCTTTCATCTCACCCACCACTGAACATCCCACAACTCCAATCCCTCTTCATTTGTCAAAGCATTCACTTATAAATGTCACTTAATTTGTTTTTTAGACGAGTTTTCACTGTCAAAACTGTTGCTGTTTTTGTTTTTTATTATTACTTACATTTACATTTTAAATGTGCACACAAATAATTAGAAATAACTAAAATTCCAGAATCACTATCCTTACCCCCCCTCAAATTTTTTACTCTTGACTAACTTGCCAGTCCTCTTTACTCCTTTATGGATGACAGAACCTCAACCATTATCTTCACCATCGTCTGCTCCTCTGTTTTGTCTTTTATTTTTATTATTTTATTTAGTTCCTTGAGAAGACTATACCCCAGGTCGTCTTCAGCTCCCCTGGAGGCTCCACTCAAGCGCCTGACACATCATATTTGTATGTGTGTTTTACAGTATGTACCCCACCCAGCGCCACTTGGAACTGTGCTGCCATACAGCCATGCCTTGTCCTTCACCACAGGTCTATGTTAGGCGCTTTTGGCTTAAGCTGAAAATAACTTATTGGACAGTGTGATCAGACAGAAGAGCACATGATTGCTATCTGGAAGTCACTAGTTTAGATCCCAGGCTCTTGTTTACAGGAAATCTCAATTTTTAATTGACTAATGAATTCTGTGAAGAATAATACGTTCTTTATTTATTCCTATTTTTTCAGGCAGTTTAACTTCTCCTAGTGAGTCAGGCTCTATGCTGCAGGATCATGTATGCCTTTTTTTTCCCTGTTTGAAACCAAATTATAAGTTTAAAATCTTAATAGTATCATATAGTAGAAGCTTACATAAGTTTTAAAAAATAACTTTTTATACCATACTCATTTAGCTAGATTATATTTTGGAATTACAGGCAGATTCAATAAATATGTTACCTCTGCTACGCAGTCACACGGGAAGAGGTATAATGAGCAATCATGAGGTCAGTCTACTACAAAATTAACATTGAATGACTTAGAATAAGTCACCATGTCTCTCAAGAAATTTTTTATGTTTTCAAGTAGTTTATAACATGTATTGTGTAGTTAATTTTAGCTTTAATGCTTCCACAGAATGTTAGTCGAACAGATATTCATTCACTGCATTCATTTCATTCAATGGATGATGCTTTATTATCAAATCAAAGAGACTCTCCTGATCAAAGCTACAAGGTATTAAATAAATTACTGTAACATTTATTTGAAATTGTCTTTCCCTGTCTCCCCACCATGGATTTGTTATTAATTGTTAGTTGCTTACTCAAATATTTGTGGTCATTTGTAGCAAGAATTATTTCTCATTTAAATTTGCACATAACTTTTGGTACAAGTTGGAACCTTGAAATCTTCACACTTTTTAACAGTTAAAAACTTTCATAATTATCATGTTAAATTAAAGTTAATTTTCAGGAATCCTTAAGTAGTTGTTTGAGTTAATGACATTTTTTGGCAGGAATTGAAGGAGGAACACGAACAGCTGAATAATGATTACAGTACTTTGTCGATTGAGAATCTTCGACTCAAGGATAAAGTGGAATCATTGCAACAGAAACTTGCAGAGAAAAGGCTGCAGGAAACTCATTTGGTAATTTATAGGTTTTTTACATTTTAGCATTAAAATGATAAAGTACAGACCTTTACAAAGAGCTACCTCAGACAGATACTCAGGATCTGCTGGCCTGACACAATGAGCTGCACACACCAATGACAGGACAACTTTCTGCTGGTGAAGAAATTAGGAAAAGCATATGTAATTGGATAGAAAACACACTGCCAAGACCACCAGCCAATATCAAGAGGCAGGTATTGAGGTGGAAGTCGCAAGCAAAAACAGTCAACCAAGAAACATCTCTAGTTAGATTGAGAAAATGATATAGGACAAAGATTTTTGGTTAGCGGCCTATACCCCAGCAGGGCAGTGATATAAATGAAAATATGAAGTTACAGGGATGTGACTTTTCCTAAATTTAGAGGAAATCCAATTTTTTCCCCTTTCAGCTGCAATGTTCCTCCACTGATTTCATTTTTGCAGAATTTTTCTTCAGATTTTCGTTTTTTGCCTATTTTTTACGAAGTTTTAAAAACTAGAAAAAAAACCCGGAAAAGACCTCTACGGAAATGGCATTTAAATAGAGTTACATTACTTTCGTCAAACTGACACTTGAATATGCGCATTTCTTTTCAATTGGATTTGCGCTAGGTCTTAGGGTGCTAGATTAAGATAAAATGTACATCTAGGTCAAGATTCAGAATTTCTGCAAATTTCAGAATTTTTCAGAACGGACAATTTTTTAGTCTAAATTTTCAGCTGATATTATCAGTTAAATTTTTATCAAAAACACAAGAAAAAGTAATCTAAAATAATGCTGTTCTTCACATGAAACTTCCATCTCCCAATGACGTCCACATTTTTTTTTTATTTTGAATCCCCCCCCCCGTGTGTTGACGTCATAAATGGATGACCCCTTATCTAGCTACTGTTATAGCCTAATTTATCTGTCAGCTTACAATTAATCTAAATCTAGGTTCTTTACAGTTGAAGACTAACACTTTTACCAAGTCAGTCTTTAAAAGAATATAACTTATATAATAAGGAATAATTGAAAACTAGACTAGATTTTCATCATCACTCCTTTATGGCCCCTGGGGAGCAAAGGGCTGCAACCACACATCTCCAGCGGACTCGGTTTTGGGCTGCTCCTCTGATCTGTGCCCATGTGAGCCCAGCTGTTTTTGCCTCTTCCTCAACCGTTCTCTTCCATGTTTTCTTTGGCCGGCCCACCCTCCTTTTCCCCTGGGGATTCCAGTCCAATGCATGTTTTGCGATGTTTTCTTTTTCTTTTCTTAACGTGTGTCCGATTTATCCCCATTTTCGGGCCTTAATATCTTTCTCTATTGGCTGTTGCTTTAAAATTTGCCACAGGTCTTTGTTTGTTATTTTGTCTGGCCATCTTATTTTGAGTATATGACGTAGGCATTTGTTTACGAACGCCTGTAGCCTATCAGTATTTGTCTTCGTAACCCTCCAGTGCTCCGAGCCATAGAGTAGCACTGCCTTCACATTTGTGTTGAAAATCCCAATTTTGCTCCGGAGTGACAGGGCCGTGGACCTCCACATTGGGAGCAGCGAGTTGAAGGCACATCTAGCCTTGTTGATACGGCATTTTATGTCCTCGTCTGCTCCCCCGTCCTTATTGATCACGCTTCCCAGATATGTGAATGTGTTTGTTTCTCGTAAATCTTCTCCATTCAGCTGTATCGGCAGGTCCTGGCTGTTATTGATTCTGATGACCTCTGTTTTGTTTTTATTGATTTTTAGTCCAATTTTGGAGGCTTCTTCAGACAGCCGATTTAGTTTGACTTGCGTGTGTTGATGCTTATGAGATAGTAGGCAGATGTCATCGGCAAAATCAAGATCTTCCAACCTTTTTGTGAAACTCCACTGGATTCCTGTGTCGTTTTTTGTGGCCCTCAGCATGATCCAGTCGATCACCATCAAGAATATCATTGGCGATAGCATACATCCCTGTCTTACTCCCGTCGTCACCCTGAATGGTTTTGTTAGTTTTCTCTTGTGTATTACCTGACTGGTGGAGTCTTCATATAGTTTCTGTGTGATAGATATAAATTTTTTGGGTATTCCATAGTGGCTCATTAACTTCCAGATAGCATCTCTATTCATACTGTCAAACGCCTTTTCGAAGTCGACAAAGGTCATGTATAAGGGGGATTGCCACTCAAGGGACTGTTCAACAATGATGCGTAGCGTGGCAATGTGGTCAGTACATGACCTGTCCTGACGAAAACCAGCCTGTTCTTGTCTCAGCTTTTTGTCCAAGGCATCTCTAAGTCTCTCTAGGATGATTCTTGTCAGCATTTCATATAGGGTTCTGATGTTCCAGGTCCCTAATCTGGTTTTGGTCTTGGGCGTTAGGAGATTTGTCAGCAAACTAGCTTCCGTTAGGCTTTCACTAGTAGGCATCATGGGCTCTTCTAGAGAGGACCCCCCTTGACCAAGTTGGTGTTGGATTTGTGTACTTGCAGTTTCTGTAGCGGTATATTTTTTTACGAGATAAGGTTGCTAGCCTTATGTTTCAACCCCCAACCTGGAGGATCAGGGTGTTAGCTTTGGTCTGATCCCTACCCGCACAGACCTTCCCAGCTTGGTTGAACCTACCAGGAGTTTACACTCCCGCTGGTATAGCTCTGGGGGTGGTCAGGATACACAAGCTGCCAAGACACGACAAGGCTCTAACACCAGATGGCAGAGACTAGATTTTAGTACAGTTTAAATGAGCTGAATGTTAAAATAAAACTTAATTACCACTTTCGTTACATTGTAAAAAAAATTTTTTGTTTGTTTATAAGGTAAACATTAAATTGCAATTAGACAAGACTTTCAGTATTATTTAAGAGTAACATAAACTTCTTTTATTTAAAATATTAGCTTAATAAAAAAATTAATTAGTACAGAAATGGTGTGATACTGCTTTAACTGCAATAAAAAAATAGATAAAACATTAAGTTCTTGTCTGAAGAAAATTTCCTAATTTTCTTTTCCTGGTCCGATCACATCGTTGAATTATTTTCCAAGTGTGTAAAAAATTATTTGTGCTGATTTTCTCTCATCATACTCACACTGAATTTGAGATATATTGCTGTTTCTAAATCTGGACTTATTTTTTTTATAGTTGCAGTATGTCGCTAATTTGCTATATCAGGCAATATAGGACCATTCAGTTGTAGTCCAGGTCATTTTACTAATTTTACTGACTCATATTTCTCTAAATATTCACACACCAACAATAGAATATCACAAACTAAACATGTGGACATGCAATGAGATGTAGACTCACTTGCAAAATTTATGAAAACTATAGTTTTAGATGTTCAGAAGGTCAACTAATACATACGCATATTTCTCATTTGACATATTTTTGCTATATATACTCAAAGCAAAAACTGTCCTAAATGACAGTATTCAGCCATTCTATATTCTACCATGCTCAATGCAGCTGCTGTGAATACTCAGTGTCACAGCCGTGGGTACCCATTGCCACTGGTGTGGGTACTCACTGCTGTTGTTGTTGGTACCCACTGTTTCTGCTTTTGCAGCACTGCTGTGGTACTCAAATGATACTGCTACTGATACCCAATGACAGTACTGTAACTACATAGTGCCACTGCTGTGGGTATTTAATGCTGAAGCTGTGAGTACTCAGTGTTAAAGCTGTGGGTACTCATTGTTACTGCAGTTGGTTCTTGGTGTCGCTGCTGTGGGTACTCAGTATGACCACATAAATTTCTACTTGATTGTGACCATTGGTACCAATATGACCGTCTGGTGTAACCAATACACAACAACTGGGAACAGTAACATTAATGTAGGCCTACCTATGCACATATGCTAAGCACAAAAATGGTATATCACATTTTAGTGACAGTCGGCGTTAATGGGTATAACATTTTCCTTTGCATTGGAAAAATAAAAATATGTCCTACACTTTGTCTTTTATTCTTTTAAATTAGATGTAATCCATAGGATGATAAATAAAGAGCAATAGTATTTTTTTATGCAAATGATTTACCACAGTCCAGTTAACACTTTGTTCTATAATTTTCTTGAAACATGATGTTGATTTTATTAACGGTTATTCACTTTTTGAATAATTTTATTCTCAAAAGTACTTATAAAAAATCTTTTGAGTTTATTAGCCTTTTAAATGTTACTGCTCCAGAAGTATTTGTATTGTATTTACTTTACTACTTTTTTAGGAGCCAACACATGAATTTAAATCTAAATTTAACTATGATCAACAGTTTTGTGCCAAAAACTCATTTTGATGTATTAAACTTTATTTAAACAGTATTTCAATTTATTAAAAAATTAATCATGAATGTGTTATGAAATTTTGTACAATAATGTGTACCTAAAGATTGAAAACATGCTTTTTTTCTTGGATATCAATATTAATATACGTATCATTTACTTTTTTGTGTTGATTTCTTGATAGTATTTTGGAAGATGGCTTTCAGGATGTAAAGTCTTCAGGCAAGTATCTTGCTAATAGGACTTTGTTTTTTCATCAGATAAACACATTGAAAGAACAGTTGCTAGCTGAGCAAAAAAAAGTGGAATTGCTAGAGAGTTTAGTGAGGAATCAAGATTTGCAGGTACAAAATGTTTAGTTGTTTATAAATGATAATGTCAAGATTCTAAAAACATATAGTTTATTCATTTATATCTGCGATTATTTTATTTGTAATACCTTATCAGTAATAGCATTGTTTTTAAACTCATATAGGGACCAAACAGACTAAAAGAAACTACAGAAGACATCAAAATGATTGAAAGTGTTGAAGAAGATGATACTGATTTCTTAGGTTTAGCCTTTTTTTTTTTTTATTACATTTTCAGTAATATATTTATTAGAACTAAAAATATTTTACATATTAAAAATTCAAAGGAAAGTGCGTTTTATGATTTTATCTTAAGTAAACACTAAATAATAAACTTTTTACTTCTTGATTCTGTACAGATAAAACACAAGTGAATGAAGAGAAAATAAATCTGAATGAAAGTCATGACTCTGAGAATGAGTCATCCCTTGTAAGTTAACTTTCAAATTTAGTGTTTAATTGAACTCTTAGTTTGCATGGGTACAATGAAATCTAATATCTTATTGACTTGGTTATTATTCATCTCTCTTCCAGTTATTTATTTTTCAATGGTTTTCTGATATTTGGCCACTGATAGTTCTTTGTAGGATGTGAAATTCAGTATGATAAACTGATTGGAAGAAATGATTGAGAAAAAATATGTAGTGATTGAGGCTTTCCTTGAAATCACAATTGAAGATATGTGTGACTTATATCTTGATGTGTAGAAGTTGTTTTAGATGAAAAAAAGAGAGGGAAGAATGTTCCTTCTCTATGTAAAGCACAGGGAAAGTTGTCTGCCCCATCTTAAACAGTGGGAGAAATAGGTCTACGACTAATTCCTGAAAGAAACTTGCCTGAGTACTGTTTTTCTGAAAGTGACAAATACCTGAATGGACACTTTCATGAATTAATTTTTTTTTAACAAACTGTCAGTATCATATAATTGCTGCAAAGATATTAATGTTTCTCTTTATTTACTAGAATGTATTAAAAGACATTTCTGCAAGCAGTTATCATGAAGACAGTTCACTGTATCAGCAACAGATACTTAGCTTTAAAGAAGAAATTTCTCATCTCCAAGCAGAATTAACACTGGTAAGTGCAAATCTATCCTATTATCTATCTGTTATTTATCTGTTATCTATGTTATCAGTTTATCTAGTTATCTCTGTCTATCCTATCCTAATTTAATTTATCCTTTTCAAATCTATCCCTTAATCTATCTGTCATAATTTATCCTATTCTAATCTATCCAAATCTTAATCTATCCCATTCTAATCTATCCAAATCTTAATCTATCCTATTCTGTCATAATCTTTCCTATCCTAAACTATCCAATCTCAATCCAAATCATAGTTTTGTTGGAGGTTGATGAGATGTTGTATTTATATATCTATCCGCCACGGTAAATCTTTTTTAAATGTACCAACTTGGGAACAGAACAAAACTAAACACAACAAAACACAACACAAACAACACAAACACAAAAGAAAACACAAACACAAACAACACAAACACAAAAGAAAACACAAACACAATGCAAACAAATACAATACAAACGCAACACACAAACACAAAAGACAACACTCATCAATTTGCATTCACATTTTGCTGATTCTATTATTGCATCACTAATTCCTTCTAGGAGGTCCATAGATTTTGCATTCACATTTTTTTAAAAATGTGCATGAGTTGAATTTATTTATAAATTACCTCCCTTGGAAAATGACAAAACAGTTTAATTAATTCGTTTTTTCGACCCTATTATTATTAAAATATATCCACTTTTTCTAGGAATCTAAGCAAAAATTTGACATTAATCCGCTTAATATGTTTTTGTAATGTATTCAATATTTTCTTTACGTTATGCAAAAGAGTAAAACAGTGGCAACTATAAAATAAATTTAAGTCGTTATATAAACAAACCCTACTCAATCACTCTCATATCCATGCTGTACACTGAAATACCATTCATAACAGGTGTGATGGGTGTAGTATGTTGGTATGGAAAAGTTTGATGAGGTGTAGCAGACAGACCTTTTTTAATGTACAACTGGGCATTTGGGTGTGGTTATGAAGGAATTATTAAGATTACAATGTATGGTAGACAGACCATTATGAAACCACTATTTTAAATGTTAATTTTTTTTACAAATTTAATAGATGACTCATCTAAGGAAGTAATTTAGCTATTAAGTTTTTAATTTGTATTACTTATCCTAAGATGCATAATTGTATCTGTCATGTTGTTGATATTCATTGGCAATTTGCAGAAGGAATGGGCTATAGTTTAGGGTGTGAGAATAGATGGTTGTTGTGGATGGTGAGTGGCAGGTGGAGTTGAGCAGAGAAGATGTTTTTGTTTGGCTTGATAAAAATCAATAGGGCTGGTAAGTAGGTCACCAACCAATTCTATGGCTCATGCAGGTTTTATTGAGCCGTAGAACTGGTTGGTGACCTACTTACCAGCCCTATTGGAATTATTAAAAACATATTAGTATAACTTTCTACTAATTAGATAACTGAATTTATTATTATTTAAGGTAGAGAATTTTAAAAATAAAAGTTGTTTAAAAAAGATGTGGTTTTTTGTGTCTGGCTGGGATGATAGGTAATGAGGGGAGACAAATATAAATTGCAAGGCTTAATTAAATGTAGAAATAACTTTTTGTATATGTCATTTTTGTTTTGAATTTCCATCAGTTGAAACAAGATAAAAACAACGATGATAAATCCTTGAGTGCAGAATTTATGAGTAAAAACACAGCCCTTGCTACAGAGGTTGCCATGCTTCAACAGGAGGTCACATCTCTTCAGACTGCTTTGGAAGTTCTGCAAGCAGAAGTCCCAACAGAAGCCCAAAGGCTAGATGCTGTGTTGGAGTCCAGCAGAAACTTTGAAGTGAGTAACATTTTTAATGTCAGATTTTAAATATTTAGCTTCAGACTAAACATCTGCAAAAAGGGACCATTGAAAAAATTTAATTGAGTTGAAAAAAGCAGCTTATAACTTGACTGGCTGTGGCCCTTTGCTTGAGAAAATGATCATGCCACATGAGTATTGTTGTACATGACCCTCTACAACAAAGTCACTTTGCACTGGAAGCTATTTTAAACTAGAGCCAAAAATGTAAAGAGCTGGTTCCAAGATGGCATTTGTGTGATTAGGAACTTTATTTATTCAAATATGCTCACAAAAATGTCATTTAAGATTATTAAAGTAATATGCTTGGTTATAAATTCCAAATATTCAATGCACAATTTCTCTGGAGCACATTTTTTATATTTACAGTCAATCAAACCTTTATACCTCAGGAACTATTCAAATTTCTACACACTTTATCATTTAAATCAGTATTTAAAGATTTGAAGATTTTTAACAGAAGATTAGTCATTAATGCCAAGCTACTGACATTTCTGTGAAGAGTAAATGTGGTTCATGCCATTGGTCTATTTACTGTCATAGTTTTGTTAATGTGTTAGCATACTAATTCACCACAGATCAAGGCACTTGCAATACTCACACCTGAAACCATTTCTACAGTAAATATTTGCTATTGCAGTTTAGGGTAGTTCCTTTTTTACTTTCTTGTATACGAAGTTTTGAGGAAATATTGTAATCTTGCTAAAAATCCAAATCGAGATTTTCACTAAGCTTGATGTTTTACACCTCCCTGAGTCGGAAAAACATAGTTTTGCAAATTTGTCCGTATGTCTGTGTGTATATGTTTGTGAACATGATAACTTGAGTACCATTACAGTTAGGTTGATGAAATTTCATATATGAGTATTATATCAAATTTGTAGTTCTTTTTCAACTTCTCAGTGATATCCGGTAACCGGAAGTGGAACTTATTCTATTTTTGATTTTTCAAAAGCATATGACTTGAGTACTGTTTCACATAGTTAAAGGAAATTTCACATATGTAAAAGATCTAATTCTCTGCCTTCTATCAAAATTTGAGTAATTTTTGTTGACTGGAAGTAGTGCTTTACGCTATTTCTGATTTGTCAAAAAAACTCATATGAATTTATAAAGTACTAGTATTCCGCCCTATTATACATATATTGTTTGCCATTTACTTTGTGCGCAATTCTTTGTTCTATGAGATTCTATTCTATTTTTAAAAAGTTTAAGTATGTAAAAACTGATTATATTAGAATATTTGAGAAAGTTTAGTGGAGATCACTTGTGCTTTATTTATATTAGGTTTATTTCTTGAAATTTTTTTCATGAAAATTTTGTAGACCTTTGTTAAAGTTTATTTTAACTTTTTTAGGAGGTAAATTTTGATGAAGAAGGTTTTGTAGAGGGTAGGGACGTGACTAAAGAAGAATTCCTGCAAGGTCAAAACCAACAGCTGAGAGCTCAATGTAATCTTCTTACTTCAGAGCTGGAGAAACTTCGGGCAACTTTTGATGCCATTCTAAAGGCAGGGGACAATCTTCAAGTTGATTATGACCAGTTAGCTGTGAGTAACTAATATTTATAAATGTAATATTTTGTTATTAGAATTTCACTCAAATAGTTGAATGCATTTGAATGAGAACAAAATTTTCATCTTTTAGATTGAGAAAGATGCTTTGCAAGATGATTTAGAGGCTGCTCTAAAGGAAAAAACAGCTATTGCCACTGAAAATGAATATTTGCTCAATGACACCAAAGAACTTCATGAAAACCTAAACAGGCTGGTCCATGAACTAGAGAAAATTCAAGAAAAGTACACAGCAACATTGGCTGAGAATGAGGAACTGAAGCGTAGTGTAACTATTGCCACAAAAGTTGGCGAAGTTGCTCGGCTACTTGAAGAAAGAGATACTCTAATGCTAAGGTGTAAAGAGTTTGAGGAGACAACAGAGAGGTTACAGGTACTCATGCAGAGTTATGTTTACCTAATAAGGTTATTTTGTATACATTTTAAAATAACCTCTAATTTAAAAATGAAACATTGGATTTTTAATTTTTTATTTGCTTACAATTTAGGAAACTATTATAATAATTGTAATTTTTTGTATTGATTAGCATGACCATGGAATACTATTGGAGGAAGTCCAAAGTTTAAATGATATAGTTACTCAGATGACAACAGAACGTGATCAGATGGCCTTGGAGATAGAAGAATTGTGCCAAAATAACCAAGATATAAATCAGGTCATTATCTTGTGACATGCAACATTTGATAGTTCAGACACTCATAATTAGTTTGCAGAGGGCTGCCTACTTGTACGGCTTTGCCCGTAATTTTACAAGTTTGACACTCGATATTTTTTGTGTGGTTCCCGGTCTGAGTTTTAGCTAGTTAAAATTCCTGTGTGTTATCTGGTTCTATGGTTACAAGCATCATCCGTAACAATCCCCCTCCCCCATCCCTTCTCACCAATGTCATGGCGGGCGGCAGAGGTTGGGTCTATGTTGTGAACTTTATTGACCCCGCCAGTGGTCCCTGAAACCCAATGAGCAGGTGATGTTCTTAAAGAAAAAAATGGTCTGAAGCCTAAGTAATTAAAAGTCTGGTCACGCCTGGAAAATATCTTGATTAAAATTAAATCTACTTCTAGATCTACTTTTTTTTCAAGAAAATAAATCTGAGTTTTAAATAAGTAAAAGAGTAGTCTAAACTATGCGAGCGTAGGTTTCTATTTATTTATAAAATTGTCTGGGTGTGGGTAAAATGCCAAAGGGTGAAACGTAGCTGAGAAGTTACGGGTAAATAGAGAGATATAATTTATCAAGCCATGTTGCTTAAAATTACCTAGATAAAAATCCTGATTTTAAAAAAATATTCAGCAAGAAATACACTAATTCTAAACATTGTCACCCGTGTGATCAGCCTCTCATGGGTTCTTGTAAGTGGGAAAAAACTCCTAACACAATCGAGGGGTCACTGAGTTCACATTGGTTTCATCATACTACACATAGCAAGAACAATTTCTATTTGAGATTTTCCATTTTTGTCGTACATGCTGTTTCGCAGCGTTTTTTTTTTAAATTAGTCAATTTCATTAAAATAAAAAGTAGCATTAGTAATGTAGCCGATTGCCATCATTACGCTGATAATTGTTGCGATTATATAAAACTTTGTTAGTCCTATTTACATTGTAATAAACAATGTGAACAAATTCTGAGAGTTACGGACAGTATCCAATTATTACAGAAAATCTATGCTCTTGTTACTGAAATTTTTTTTTTTTGGGGTAGGCAGCCCTGTTAGCGCCAAGCAAATGGAAAATCAACTATATTGTATGACTATAATTGTAATTCATTAAAAAAGTGCTTATCTTACTTTTGATGCAATTGTATGATGTATTCCACAGCTTGAGTATGATTATGAAGAGTTGCTTAAAGAAAACCTCAAGCTACAGGAGATCATGCATTCAGCTGATAGGCAGAATACAGCCCAAACATCAGTGCAACATGGGAGCCACAACTTGAGTGAATATATCATCAAACAGGATGGAGAGAGAAGCCAAGCTGGGCCTCCAGCTTTAGAACATGACTTGAGTGAATATATCATCAAACAGGATGGAGAGAGAAGCCAAGCTAAGTCTCTAGCTTTAGAACATGACTTGAGTGAATATATCATCAAACAAGATGGAGAGAGAAGCCAAGCTAAGCCTCCAGCTTTAGAACATGACTTGAGTGAATATATCATCAAACAAGATGGAGAGAGAAGCCAAGCTAAGCCTCCAGCTTTAGAACATGACTTGAGTGAATATATCATCAAACAAGATGGAGAGAGAAGCCAAGCTAAGCCTCCAGCTTTAGAACATGACTTGAGTGAATATATCATCAAACAAGATGGAGAGAGAAGCCAAGCTAAGCCTCCAGCTTTAGAATCCACTGAGCAACATGCAAGAGAAGTTGAGAAGTTGAAACAAGAAGTAAGCCTATTATTAATACAAAAAGAAGAATTAGAAACTGAACTGAAGTTTTTAAAAGCCAGCCAAACCTGTGTGCCAAAGTTGAAAGAAAAGGAATTAGATTTGATGATAAAAGATGAAGATATCCACTTAACTGATCAGTTGGAGCAAGCCTATAGCCAGATCTTGAAGGAAAGAGATCAACTCATTATTCAGCTACAGCAGAGCAACATGAAAGGGAAGGAGATGCAAAATGTGAACCAGTTGAGGAAAATGGAGCAAGATTACAATAAACTTTTAGAAGAAAAGATTGAGATAGAGTTAAAACTTGCAGACCAGATTGACATAAGTAAAAGGACAGTAGACAAGGTAAAGTTCCAGCAGCTTGAAGAAGATTACAAGAACTTGTTGGATGAGAAATCTGAATTAGAATCCCACTTAATGGATCTCAGTGAAAAAACTGATATGGCCATCAAGGTGGATCATAGAAAGCTTGCTGAGGAAAATGCTGAGCTCAAGTCAAAGCTTGAACAATACAGCCAGGGTCAATCAGAAGATAAGAAATTCCAACAATTAGAAGAGGACTACAGGACTGTAATGAAAGAGAAAGAAGACTTGGATGTAAAGCTGAGAGAAAGTTCTGAGCAAATGAAAACTGAAGGAGAATACTATATGCAGCTAAAACAATTAGAGATTGATTTTGTTGAATTGTTGGGAGAGAAAGAAGCTCTGGAGTTAGAGTTAAAGAATCAACGAGTTCATTTAGAAAAGATTGAGTATGATTACACAGGATTAGTTAGTGAGAATCAGGAACTTAAAGAAAGAATTGAAAGCCAAAACAGCTCAGAAGAATCAGGCCGGAGCAAACATCTGGAGCATGAAATCCACTTGCTACTGAAAGAGAAGGAGGTTCTGGAGCATCAGCTGACCACAGATCATGCCAAGCTACAGCAGGCTGAGCATGATCTGGGGGAGGTTTTGAATGAAAAGGAGATGATGGAGCAGCAACTAACCAATGACCAACAGAAGGTGCAGCAGTTAGAGCAAGAGGTAGCAGCTCTCTTAAGGGAAAGAGAATCTTCAAAACAGCAAAATATAGGTGAAAATAACGCGAGTATGAATGAACAGGAATATGTTAAACTTGAAGAAGAGCTGAAGGACCTACAGGAGGAGAAAGAACAGATGGAGATAGTCATTCATGGCTTGTCTAGGCACAATGTAGCCATAGAGAAAAAGGTAAGACAGTTATTTTCCATTGTTATCCTACCTCAACTTTTTTAACTACTGTTCATTTTTTTCATCTTTTGGCAGTTTAAGGGGATATGCTGTTTTTTTTCTATTTTTTACAATTTAAGATCTAAAGCCTTTTGAATACTATTACCATGTTTGGCACATGAAAGTAAGTATTAAACAGCAAATAAAGGGTTGAAAAAAATTTTGGTTGTTATGGAAACCCAAAAAAACCTCAGCCATTTTAAATTTTTCTGTACTTTTAAAATTGCTAAATTTTAGTAATCAAAGTGATTTTTTTACGGCGCGTATCTCCTTAAATACTTTACTTCCATTTTCCTTTGTCAGTTTTAAAAAGAGGTCTTAATTAAGTTTATTATAATAACATGTTACTAAAACATTGCATTGGTTGAAATTTCTATGCGCACATTATTTTCTCTACCAACTATTATTGGCACATTTATAAAGAGCCCATGTATGACTGTTGAATGGCACAATAGGGGTCGGCGTGGTTGAGTCGGTTAAAGCTCATGGTTGCTAAACCGAAAAGTCTTGAGTTCGAACCCTCGGGCAGATGAGGCTCGTTAGCTGGGGACAGCCACTCTTCTAGGAGAGACAACTCCAAAATGAAACAACTGCTGCCTTGTAGTTTGTTCTCGGTTGGACAAAGGTTATGGAAGCAAATCCAATAGGAAAAGCAGGCTGAAATCAGAGTCAATGGCCTCAATGGCGCATAACCAGTTGACACGTAACGCTTAATTGTATTGGAGGCGTAGTCGAGTAGGCAAAAAGCTCATGGTTGATAAATTCGAACAAAGTCTCGAGTTCAAACCCAATGGCAGATAAATCTCGATCCCCTTCAACACTAATAATTAAGAACGAAGAAGAAGAAGAAGAAGAAGAATTGCACAATTACATTAGACTTACATATAAGTATGTTAAATGGTACAGTTACATTAGACTTACATATAAGTATGTTAAATGGCACAACCACATTAGACTTACATATAAATATGTTGAATGGCACAATTACATTAGACTTACATATTAGTATGTTAAATGGTACAGTTACATTAGACTCACATATAAGTATGTTGAATAGCACAATTACATTAGACTTACATATAAGTATGTTAAATGGTACAGTTACATTAGACTCACATATAAGTATGTTGAATGGCACAATTACATTAGACTTACATATAAATATGTTGAATGGTACAGTTACATTAGACTCACATATAAGTATGTTGAATAGCACAATTACATTAGACTTACATATTAGTATGTTAAATGGTACAGTTGCATTAGACTCACATATAAGTATGTTGAATAGCACAATTACATTAGACTTACATATAAATATGTTGAATGGTACAATTACATTAGACTCACATATAAGTATGTTAAATGGCACAACCACATTAGACTCATATCACTGTTTAATATTCTGTTAATTTTATTAAAGTTACAACTGCAATGAACACATGTCTAAACTAAGTTGCAGTTGCTCCAATAACACTGTTCTATTGCAGGTAGAAGATCTGAAAAAAGCTTTGGCATCAGAGTTGGCATCAATGGCCAACCTAAAAGAAAAGCATCAAGCTTTAGTTAAAGACAAAAATAGCCAGGATGAAGAAATGCAGAACCTGCAAGATGAAATTTTCAGACTTAAAACAACAATTTCTAAACTTAAAGCTCAAATAATTGTAAGTATTTAATTTATTCTATATAAAAACTATTACAATATATGAGCCTAATCAATTTGTTGTATAAAAGATGTATTACTTTATATGAGCCTAATGTGTTACAAGATTTATGTTTATATCACTAACTGAGTTATTTTTAATAACAATAAAAGCATAGCAAAAAGAGTGATATATTTTCATATAAAGTTGTATCTAGAGATACCAATTTAATGCATTCTGTAGAGGGGATAAGCGGAAATGCTCCACCTAGTTCACTTATCAATCTCTTTCATTCACATATTCATTACACTCGTAATGCTACACGTTATTCCTAATCTACGGGGTCAGTGTTATAACTGGAAACAATTTTAACTTTACAACTATGCAATGAGAGGGATTCCACTCCCATTTTCTTCCCTACCCATTTTTGAATTCATCAGAGTTCTGTCTCTTTTCCTGCAGACAAATGACGACAGGATCACATTGTTTCATTTCATTGTTTATTGCACTAATCACATGACATTCACTAGATAGACTTGAACGACGATTCTGTGACCTCAGCATATCAAGGGATAGTGTGGTCAGCACTATGCCCAGCTGCTTTTATTTTCTCTATCATGAAGTTTTTTCATCAGAAACAAATGTGTTAAGCTACTGCCAAGAGCAATTAAAGCATCCTCAGTTAGTTTCAGCAACTAATAATGTATTTTCTTTTTATTTTGTAGGATTGGGAGAAAAAGCATGCTGACACTGTAACTACATATAGAACACATTTACTAAGTGCTGTTCAGGTACAGTTGGAGGACATTTTTGTTAGAAATTCCTTTAGAATTGTATTGTGATTACATCTTGTTTAATTACTTTAAGTGTAATTAGGTTTTCTCAATTAATATATAATAATGTTTCAGTGAAATCCGACACTGGTTCAAATATAATGAACTATATTTAAACCATCCATATTGAATTGATTTAACATTGTATTTTTGTATTTTTTTTATTCACCAAATTTTTATGTTCAAGTTGTATATTACAAATGTTTCTGTATTCTCTTATAGGGCCACATGGACCCTGATGTGAAAAATGCATTGTATCACATTATAGAAATACGAAGTATGGAACAATTTTGTTAAGTAGTATTTTATATTAATAACCTTAGTTAAATTTAATAACTTACTTGTTCACTAACAGGATGGATTGAATTGTTTGAATAATTAATTATGTTGATTTTATAAAACATCTTCTTTCTTTTCTGAATACAAAGCTGAATTCGATGACTAGAGCAGCTCATGTGGCAAGACCAGAGATTTACAGACAGTTAGTTTTAGACTAGATTACAAAACTAAGCTTTTATATTCATTAGTTTGATGTACTTTTACTTGCTCTCTTCTTTAGCTCTTGTTAGCCACAGTTGTCTTAAAAGTTAACACTAAAACAGGTCAAAGATGAAGGGCTAAATAATAGCTCATTAGGTTTAATTGTTAACATTAATTCTAAAAGCTATATTTGAGATATATTTATACAGAATAACATATACCATTTTTTAATGATTTATATCAGAATTGTCAAAATTTGCTCCATCAATTTTCTTTTGATAACTTGTTCATACAGATTTTGTTAAACACATTTTTGTAAAACACATTTTTGTAAAACACATTTTTGTTAGGTTATGCCTTCATTTATTTTTGTAAAACAATCCAAAGCACCATTTTTAAACAGCATCATTTTTTTTTTATGTTGACCCAGGCTTTGTTACTGCTGATCCCCACTTTAGTTTATTGGTAAACTGAATGTCACCTGCTAACTCAACTGCTGATCCCCACTTTAGTTTATTGGTAAACTGAATGTCACCTGCTAACTCAACTGCTGATCCCCACTTTAGTTTATTGGTAAACTGAATGTCACCTGCTAACTCAACTGCTGATCCCCACTTTAGTTTATTGGTAAACTGAATGTCACCTGCTAACTCAACTGCTGATCCCCACTTTAGTTTATTGGTAAACTGAATGTCACCTGCTAACTCAACTGCTGATCCCCACTTTAGTTTATTGGTAAACTGAATGTCACCTGCTAACTCAACTGCTGATCCCCACTTTAGTTTATTGGTAAACTGAATGTCACCTGCTAACTCAACTGCTGATCCCCACTTTAGTTTATTGGTAAACTGAATGTCACCTGCTAACTCAACTGCTGATCCCCACTTTAGTTTATTGGTAAACTGAATGTCACCTGCTAACTCAACTGCTGATCCCCACTGTAGTTTATTGGTAAACTGAATGTCACCTGCTAACTCAACTGCGTTAGTGAATCTCACTGTTTTTCAAACAGTTATTTATTTTGATAGATTCAATTTTTTTACCTAATGTACAAACAAATTGGACAGCTTATAAAGCAATTCTTATCTTGATTGAAACACATTATTTAACTGAATCAAAATATTTAGGTATACAAATTCTTTGATATATTTTATTTGAACTAAGTACATTATTACTATGTACATTGTTGTGGAAACTTCTTGTGCTTCCAAAATACAAATAATACATTATTATTATGATTTAGTATTTTTGTTAAATCAACTATATTATTGTTACAGTATTTGAACATATGTGATTAGAAGAGATTTCCAAATGATGAAAGATTTAGGGGTAATTGTTAAAAATGAAATGAAAGTATTTGTTACACATTTGCCAATCATTTATTTTCATTTAAATATCTAGAAAATGTGAAGAGCTTTCATATTCATTGATGAAAAATATGTATGAACATGCACAAAAAGAATCAAACAACTACAAATGTTACTAACCTACAGCAAGGCTTTATTGATTGTGCTGTTGCTTTTTTTTTATTTTTCTCAAATGATTGCATAATGAGCTATTGAGCATATGATATTGCTGTTGGTTTGTGCAGCATAGTATGATGACATCTCCTGATCTAGTGTTCCTCATTTTGAGTTCAATTAGGGGAGGATACTGGAAGCCTTGTTGTCTACATACTTGCATAATGGCTCTGCTAAAAGTTTAATCTCTTGTAAAAATATGTCTTGCTACTGTCAATAGTGTTTTATTTATATTACACTGTTTTCTTCATTACTATGGTACCTCAAATTGTGTGAATTTGGTCAATTACTGTGATTTTTATATTTTTTATTGTGTTAGTTATGTGTATGAAGCAAATGATTATTCAACATAATTACCATGTAACATCATTTATCAAAAGACATTTCCACACATTTCCACATATCTCTACCTTCTATGGTACCCTTTGTCTGTTTGTGTAATGAAATAGGTATGCTGTCTTCTGGTAAAAGTATTTGAAAATTACTTTTTATTTACAGTTTCTGAGAGTAGTTATTTAACCTATTAATCGACTGCAGCTTTTTATTCATTCTTTTAACACTAAGCATCTCAAGAATTTTTAAAATACTTTTATTGTTCATAATAACTTTTTCTCAGTTCTTATGTCTGAGAGGTCTGTGAATTACATGGCAGTGTTTGGGTGATAAAGCCTAAATATGGATATGCAACCAAATGATGATCCAAAAATAATTATATAATGACTCCTAGATTTGAATGAATATGATACAAGCAAGAGATGTAAATATCTTTTTTTTGGTGTAAATTTTGTAAAGGGCCAGCCACTGTTCATCTTCATTCATGCTTCCTTGAGGCAATCATACCCCCCCTCCTCTCCCACTAACATAGTCTGGGTAATAAAGACATCTCCTAGAATTGTTTTTTTTCCCCAACTTGATGCAAAAAAAAAGTGAAGACACAGACAGATGGTTTTGAATTGAACAAGTTTAGAATTTTTAATGGGAAGAATATTGGTCAAGCTAAAGTGCATTTTGTGTGTTATAAAAAATCTTCTGTAAATACTTGTTACTCCAACTTTTTATACTATTGGCCTTAAAAAATTTGCCACAATAAATACTTGTTATAAACCCAACTTTTTATACTATAGGCCTTAAGGGGATATGTGCCGAAAAAAATCACCAAATTTCTGGTTTTTTGTCATGATGGGTTTCTTACACTTTTGGATGCTTTGTCCATTTTTGTTTTAAGAAAATAATAACTTAATGAGAGGAAAAAATTTATGTGTTTAAAATACCATTTTTATGACCCTATTAATTAAAAAATAATCAATTTTTCCCAACCTTACAAGCTTTCTATGAAAAGTTTTATATCCATCATCATATTGTATTCGGCGTTATGGGAAAGCTGGATTTCTCATGTATTTGATAATCTTAATTTCCATCATCTCGGAAACGCCCAAAGCTTACAATAGGCTTTGCAGTTTACACAGATATGGTATTTTTGTGACCTACTTTTAGATGCTTTTGGCTGTTTTTCTCAGTTTGCAGGTTTTTAGCACTAAAAAGCCTACTACTTTTTTATTTATCAAACAATGCACACCATATTTTCAGTAATTGTTCTTCATGTAAAAATACAAATTTGTCACGAGGGAATAGTGATGGCTTTCATAGAAAAAAAGTATATGGTAAATGATCTGCAAATTTTGTAACTTTTGAATACTAAAAGGGTACGATTTTTTAGACCTTGTAAAATTCTTATTATTAGCTATTTCACAAAGTTGTTATGACAAGTTTTAATATATACTGAAATATAAGGCATTTAAATTTGATTGCAATAAGTGCATAAATAAAAAAGCCTTAGCATTTTTACAGAAAAATTCAAAATGGCGGAGGTTTTTTTTTGGGTTTCCGTGACAACCAAAATTGTTTTAAACCTTTTTTGCTGTTTAATAGTTACTTCCATGTGCCAAACGTGGTATAAGTATTCAAAAGGCTTTAGATCTTAAATTGTAAAAAATAGAAAAAAACGGAACATATCCCCTAAATAATATGTAAGAGAAATACTTGTTATTAAGCTTTTTATTCTACTGACTTTAAATTATTTGCCTCAATAAATATTTTTGTACTTATTGTGAACAAAAGCTTGTTGTGAACTAAGATGTTTATCTGAATCTAATTTTTTTAAAAATAACAGTACTTATGCAGATATTCAATCAGGCAAAATAATGTTTTATGACAGTGCCCGAAATGCTTTTAGTAATTATAGAATACTAGACAGTACTTTCAAATGTTTATTACATTTTAAATATTAGAAAAGTGTGTTTTTAGTGTTTCTGTGTGTTAGAATTCTATTAAAACATATATTTTTGAGCTTTAATGGTAATTCCCAAAAATTATTAATTTTTTTTTTGTAATTACATGGTGCTAAGAAAAAAGCAAATTATTAAAATTTATTTTGCTTTTTTTCCCCCCCAAATATTGTTTGGATACCTAAAATATTACTAACCAAAAATAGGATGACTTTGTACAAAAGTGACCAAAAAAGCACAGTTTTTATGAAAGCAGACAAAAAAATGTAACTCACCTTTGAGGATCCAATCTATATGATGCCGGTACATGAAGAACTGCTGAATAAAATCAGAAGTTTTTTGTAATCAGCTATTGACTTGCCACACTTTCCTTGTTCAATATGAATAATTTTTTCTGTTCATTTGCTACAATTTTTACTTAAGGTATAAAAAATAGCTGTTGTGATATACTTTTAATCATTCCAACTTGCCTTGTCTTTCTAACAATTATTGTTTAAATGTTTTAAAAAAAGCTCCACTTTATTCTGAAGTTTTATACTGAATAAGACTTACACTTCAAAATGGATGTTGATTAAATACTTTTTTTAGTATTGCACAAAAATTTTCTTTGTAAATTTACAACTGTCAAACACGATAATTAAAAAAAATAAAAATGTAAGAACTGCCTTTCTATATACTCATGTATTGTTACTAGCAGTTGTGTACCTATGCTTGTCTTATTGCTTGTCAACTTTTTATGGGGAGCTAAGACAAAAAATGTCTAAATAACCATGTTTTTTCAAATGTATATTAATATTAATTGTCAATAAAACCAAAATGTACAATGTTAATTATAATATATGAATATTCCAGATTTTATTAGGACATTTTTTTTTTTGAAGAAAAATCATTGTTTATTAAAACTTAAGAGGTTGTAAAATACCGTCCCATGATTTTTTGAAGAAATATACTGTCCCATGACTTTTTGAAGAAAAGGAATTTTCAGTTTCACAGTTTCTGTAGCCCACAGTTATAAAACAGCATTCAGTGTGATAGAATTATTTTGTCTCTGTAGCCCACAGTTATAAATCAGCGTTAAGTGTGATTGAATTATTTTGTCTCTGTAGCCCACAGTTATAAATCAGCGTTAAGTGTGATTGAATTCTTTTGTCTCTGTAGCCCACAGTTATAAATCAGCGTTAAGTGTGATTGAATTCTTTTGTCTCTGTAGCCCACAGTTATAAATCAGCGTTAAGTGTGATTGAATTCTTTTGTCTCTGTAGCCCACAGTTATAAAACAGTGTTCAGTGTGATAGAATACTTTTTAAAAACTGTCGTGAGTGTTGTAGATCTGATAAATACATTCCATTATTTTGTTTTTTAAAATACAATGTCTATTACACTTGTACTGTTAGAATACTTGTAATCAATATTTATTCAATTTAATGTATAATTTCTTGCCTAACAGTAGTTCTACCAATTATTAAAGTATTTTGTTAATTTTTTATACCAAACCAGACATATTATCTCTTTTTATGTACATAATCAGATCATAAATTAATATATGCAAACTTACATATTTTATTAGGCAAAATTTGGTTGATGGTTATCCTTTGACACTCAGTGCAATTCATAAAAAGTTACATTGGTTCAAAGTGCAAGAAAATCAGTGCAATAGATAAAAAGTTACATTGGTTCATAGTGCAAGAAAATCAGTGCAATAGGTAAAAAGTTACATTGGTTCATAGTGCAAGAAAATCAGTGCAATAGGTAAAAAGTTACATTGGTTCATAGTGCAAGAAAATCAATGCAATCAATAAAAAATTACATTGGTTCAAAGTGCAAGAAAATCAGTGCAATAGATAAAAAGTTACATTGGTTCATAGTGCAAGAAAATCAGTGCAATCCATAAAAAGTTACATTGGTTCATAGTGCAAGAAAATCAGTGCAATAGATAAAAAGTTACATTGGTTCATAGTGCAAGAAAATCAGTGCAATCCATAAAAAGTTCTGTGAGTACAACAGATTTATCGACCTAGTTCTGTGAGTACAACAGATTTATTGACATAGTTCTGTGAGTACAACATATCTATTGACCTATTGAGTACAACAGATTTATCGACAGTTCTGTGAGTACAACATATCTATTAACCTAGTTCTGTGAGTACAACAGATCTATGTTAGGTTCCTGGTGTTTTCATTGTCACCAACTGCCAGTTTGTTTGATACCACCAGATTATTTTAAGGATATTGGCGCGTTTTTCGGAGACTAATTAAATACAATTTAAAACACTTTACAAAACTGATTGATAAGAAAACAACATCAGCAAACAGACCCACCTAACTGAAACTACTAAGGTCATGTTATGAAGCCTAAATTATTGTTTATGACTCATTGCAAGTAAACTTCTTGGCTTACTTTTTGACGCCTCTGTTGAGCGAGGAGCTTACTGTCACAAAGTCAATCCACTTTATCATCTGTATATCTGCTGTTTACTGCATACAATACATGCTTGATATGGACCGTCAACCATTCACAGATCTATCTATATTCACAATTGAAGCCTTTAAGTTGTCAGGCTCAATTCAACCATCCATCTTTTATACGGAAGGTCTACTATCTTTTGGTTTAACATCAGTCTAGAGACGTGAGGTAATTGTTTACGTAAAGTGTGCACCGTAGAAGATCATTTTACTTATCTCTGATCTGTCAAATACAGAGGGAAAAAGGATTGCGTGTCTCTTCCTTGCCAGCTGACCTAGAATATCACCCAAAAGCATCTTGGACCGATGCACATATTTTTAGTTAGATTGTGTAAAAAAAAAGTTTAAAATATGGGGGGGGGGGGGGGGGGGGAAGAAGGTGAATAAATGTACAGAAAATAAAGTGGGAGTAATCTCCCCTAAAATTTTCTTATGTATCAAGGGAGATGGCACTTCCGGGGCAATCGGGTTATAGAAATATGTTTATTTGTTTAATTGTTTTAGTACTCTAAAGAGTTGCGCACCAAATACCAAATGAACGCATACAATATGTGTATAATAGCGCGGAAAAATAGTACTTTATAAAGGAAACATTGATTTATTTTTAAAAAGTTAATAGAACATCTAGTTAAAAATCACATTTTATGTCACAGTTCATTCTCATTGAGTCTTTACCTATATGAAAAGCTAGAAACAAATCGGTCCATTAGAAATATTTTTTGAGAAATCGGAAATACCGTTGAAATGCTGCTTCCGGTCTTCCGAAATTACTCCACAAATATTAAATTTTGGTTGAGAAATATGCTTCCTTGCAACAAAATTTTGGAACCAGCTTTTCATGCCTATATATACTTCACATTCAATTTAAATAATTTAATACATACATATGAAATTTCGTCAACATAACTGAAACGGCACCAGTGTTTCTTCCAGACTTTTTTCTCCAGGGGTGCACTTGAAATTTTCGGGAGGGGGGGGGGGGGGGGGCGGACACTGTTAAAAGTATATATTGTCTATATAAATCCCATTTCGTTCGGGGGAGCGGTAGACTTTCTTCGGGGGGATTGGGGGGCGGTTCCACCCGTCGTCTCGTCCCCCCCCCTTCCCCCCGAAAAGATGCCTGGAAGAAACTCTGAACGGCACTCAAATAATCGCGTTTAGAGTCATATAGACACAATTGCAAAACCAAGTTTTTTTCCGTTTCGGAAGGAAGTAAAGCGTCAAACTTTGTCAAAATATGTTTAGATTTTTTTCAAGCTTTATGTTCTCTATAATATGATAAAGTAGGGAGGTGTAAAACGGGGAAACTATCACAATATATGACAATTATTCAGCACGATTACAATACTTCCTCCATACTCTGTATACGAGAAAGTAAAAAACCAGCGAAAATAGATGTAACATTATGAAAAATAGCTTACAGCATATTTCACTGTAGCAAAGCAATAGCTCACTTCTATAATATTATTATATCAGATTATATATTATAGTATCACACGCCGCTATTTAGTTGTTTTATTTTCTACTTTTCAGTACTTCATAGCTAGTTAATTCGACGCTACCCTCCCTTCCATTCCCAGTGTTTCTTCCAGACTTTTTTTCTGCGGGGGGGGGGGGGGGGGGGCTTGAAATTTTAGGGGGGGGGGCGGTAGACTTACTTCGGGGGGGGCGGACACTGTTAAAAGTATATAATTTCTATATAAATTATATAAATTTCATTTCGTTCGGGGGGGGGGGGGGGGGGGGGGGCGGTAGAATTTTCTCGGTGGGGGGGGGGGGGGGCGTAGAGATGCCTGGAAGAAACTCTGTCCATTCCCCACCACCGTGAGAGCAGCCGTCCGTGACGACAGTTTACGACGACAATGAAAAGGCCAAGCAGAACTTCTTACCTCTCCTTGGTTTCAAATCGTTTAAAAGCTCAATTATCTGCCCATATTAGCCGTTACTAATTCGACCAGGCTCTACGATTGTAAATATTCGGGGTGAACTACAGCTCTCCAGACTGATTGATAGGGGTGTGGGGTGGGGTGTTAGCTATATGCCTAGAGAGCGGGGGAGTAACGGCGTGCGTCTACGTCTTGTCCCGTATGGTCCACATGAAGAGAATATATATATATATATATATATATATATATATATATATATATATATAATATTATATCTTATATATATATATATATATATACATATAAGATATAATATATATATATATATATATATATATATATATATATATATATATATATATATATATATATATATTGATAGACACATATCGGCCTGTTATGTTGCGCCTTTTTTTCGACTTGACGCTCCCCTTCACCGGAAAACCTTCAAACGCCTCTGGGTAACACGTTCTTTTAATGTCACCAGCTGCCTCTCCCCACCCCTTTGTTTTTAATATCTCTTTTTGGTAATCCAGCCTTCTTAAAAGATGAACTCGGTACTTGATCAATAAACGTCTGTGCAACAGAATTGTCTACATGTCAGCTGCTAGGGCCACATGTCACGTGGTTCACACGGCCTCTCCTGTTACTTGTTTGTCACTGTCGGCTGGTAACCCTTTTATTTTTAACATGGCAGCTACGTGTTCTTAATAGGGTCAAACAGATGATTGCAGCGTGGGCCCGAGGAGTCGAGCTGGTTGAATGGGAACACAGTTGCCAAGCCCTGCTCGGATTATTGTTTGAGAACCGTTCTCTTCTGGACCAGAAAGGTGTGCCGCACAATATGTAAGGTTTATTTTTAGAATTCTTGCGGCAACCTAGATCTATTCATTGTGAATCAAGCTACCATTTCATCTCGCTTTTTTCATCACCGTGCTGACATTTCTCACATATTACGATAAAACAGAGCAAAACTGTTTACACATATAGAATCTACATAATGTCGACCGATTGAACACACACACATATGCATATCATTAATCAGTTGAATACAAACACTAAGGTAATCATCTAAACACACACACACACACACACAACGTTGATATATTTTAGTAACATAAAAAAATAAGTAATACTATTGTATCTATTTTTACATGTATACCGTAGTCGTTCCGTAAGATTGTATCAATACCGTAGTAGTTCTGTAAAATTGCATCTATAGTTACGACAATACCATCTAGAGACTGACTAGGCAAGGCATGAATGTTTTTCTTACATTAAAAGCAATCCCCATGATGGCCTGTGGCTATGGTTAGAACAATAGATAAACAAAAGATCGTTGCTTGTCTGTATACAATTTTAATTTAACGTAGATTAGATTTTTGTAAGCAATAACTCATTTATTCTACGCTCAGCCTAACCCCAATCATGTCTAAACATTTACTGCTAAACAGTACATCAAATTTAACCTTAACAACTAAGTAAAAGTAACCCAAGCATCAACCCATTCGCCAAGATTAAAGTCATTTAATTGACACATATACTTTTATAAATCAAAACTGTAAGAAGTTAAGCCACATGGAAGTGGGAAATTAGGTCACATGGAAGTGGGAAAGTTGGCCACATGGAAGTGGGAAATTTGGTCACATGGAAGTGGGAAAGTTGGCCACATGGAAGTGGGAAATTAGGTCACATGGAAGTGGGAAAGTTGGCCACATGGAAGTGGGAAATTAGGTCACATGGAAGTGGGAAAGTTGGCCACATGGAAGTGGGAAATTAGGTCACATGGAAGTGGGAAAGTTGGCCACATGGAAGTGGGAAATTAGGTCACATGGAAGTGGGAAAGTTGGCCACATGGAAGTGGGAAAGTTGGCCACATGGAAGTGGGAAATTAGGTCACATGGAAGTGGGAAAGTTGGCCACATGGAAGTGGGAAAGTTGGCCACATGGAAGTGGGAAATTAGGTCACATGGAAGTGGGAAAGTTGGCCACATGGAAGTGGGAAAGTTGGCCACATGGAAGTGGGAAAGTTGGCCACATGGAAGTGAGAAAGTTGGCCACATGGAAGTGGGAAAGTTGGCCACATGGAGATGCCGCCTACAGTTCTGAAGATGACAATATATCTAACATCTCAAACGTCCACAAGCCGGCATGTAAATTAGAAAACGTGACGTATGGATTACAGTTGGATGACGCATGTGCTGACACTTCTAAGGGTCAGCTAGTGCTATCATGAAGATGGTCAATTGAGGCTAACTGAAGACAACTGCTTCAAACAGATGTGTAGGCATTTCATGTTACAAGTAATACAAGTCAATCATCTGTTTTCTGTTTTACTTATTTTTAAAACATTTGAATTAGAACATTAAAATATTAACTTAAACTTAAAGCGCTTCTACTTCGCCATTAAAGTCAGAATCCCCGCCAATTGCGAAACGAAACCTCAAATAAAAATGTGACCCACCCTAATCAAAGAACCCATGTGCGCGCACTTTTCTCTCTCCCCCTCTCAATGTCCCCCTGGTCCCACTTTTCTTCTAGTCCCACTTTTCTCTCTCCCCTCTCCATGCCCAAACCCCTCACCAACACACCACACACACGGAAATAGACCAAACCCCTCACCAACACACCACACACACGGAAATAGACCAAACCCCTCACCCACACACCACACACACGGAAATAGACCAAACCCCTCACCCACACACCACACACACGGAAATAGACCAAACCCCTCACCAACACACCACACACATCACACACACGGAAATAGACCAAACCCCTCACCAACACACCACACACACGGAAATAGACTAAACCCCTCACCAACAGACCAAACACACCACACACACGGAAATAGACTAAACCCCTCACCAACACACCACACACACGGAAATAGACTAAACCCCTCACCAACACACCACACACACGGAAATAGACTAAACCCCTCACCAACACACCACACACACGGAAATAGACCAAACCCCTCACCAACACACCACACACACGGAAATAGACTAAACCCCTCACCAACACACCACACACACGGAAATAGACCAAACCCCTCACCAACACACACCACACACGGAAATAGACCAAACCCCTCACCAACACACCACACACACCACACACACGGAAATAGACCAAACCCCTCACCAACACACCAAACACACCACACACACGGAAATAGACCAAACCCCTCACCAACACACCACACACACGGAAATAGACCAAACCCCTCACCCACACACCACACACACGGAAATAGACTAAACCCCTCACCAACACACCAAACACACCACACACACGGAAATAGACCAAACCCCTCACCAACACACCACACCCACGGAAATAGACCAAACCCCTCACCCACACACCACACACACGGAAATAGACTAAACCCCTCACCAACACACCAAACACACCACACACACGGAAATAGACCAAACCCCTCACCAACACACCAAACACACCACACACACGGAAATAGACCAAACCCCTCACCCACACACCACACACACGGAAATAGACCAAACCCCTCACCAACACATCACACACACGGAAATAGACTAAACCCCTCACCAACACACCACACACACCACAGACACGGAAATAGACTAAACCCCTCACCAACACACCACACACACGGAAATAGACCAAACCCCTCACCAACACACCACACACACGGAAATAGACTAAACCCCTCACCAACACACCAAACACACCACACACACGGAAATAGACTAAACCCCTCACCAACACATCACACACACAAAAATAGACCAAACCCCTCACCCACACACCACACACACGGAAATAGACCAAACCCCTCACCAACACACCACACACACAAAAATAGACCAAACCCCTCACCAACACACCACACACACGGAAATAGACTAAACCCCTCACCAACACACCACACACACGGAAATAGACCAAACCCCTCACCCACACACCACACACACGGAAATAGACCAAACCCCTCACCAACACACCACACACACGGAAATAGACTAAACCCCTCACCAACACACCACACACACCACACACACGGAAATAGACTAAACCCCTCACCAACACACCACACACACGGAAATAGACCAAACCCCTCACCACCACACCACACACACGGAAATAGACTAAACCCCTCACCAACACACCACACACACGGAAATAGACCAAACCCCTCACCAACACACACCACACACGGAAATAGACCAACCCCCTCACCAACACACCACACACACCACACACACGGAAATAGACCAAACCCCTCACCAACACACCAAACACACCACACACACGGAAATAGACCAAACCCCTCACCAACACACCACACACACGGAAATAGACCAAACCCCTCACCCACACACCACACACACGGAAATAGACTAAACCCCTCACCAACACACCAAACACACCACACACACGGAAATAGACCAAACCCCTCACCTACACCACACCCACGGAAATAGACCAAACCCCTCACCCACACACCACACACACGGAAATAGACTAAACCCCTCACCAACACACCAAACACACCACACACACGGAAATAGACCAAACCCCTCACCAACACACCAAACACACCACACACACGGAAATAGACCAAACCCCTCACCCACACACCACACACACGGAAATAGACCAAACCCCTCACCAACACACCACACACACGGAAATAGACTAAACCCCTCACCAACACACCACACACACCACACACACGGAAATAGACTAAACCCCTCACCAACACACCACACACACGGAAATAGACCAAACCCCTCACCAACACACCACACACACGGAAATAGACTAAACCCCTCACCAACACACCAAACACACCACACACACGGAAATAGACTAAACCCCTCACCAACACACCACACACACAAAAATAGACCAAACCCCTCACCCACACACCACACACACGGAAATAGACCAAACCCCTCACCAACACACCACACACACAAAAATAGACCAAACCCCTCACCAACACACCACACACACGGAAATAGACTAAACCCCTCACCAACACACCACACACACGGAAATAGACCAAACCCCTCACCCACACACCACACACACGGAAATAGACCAAACCCCTCACCAACACACCACACACACGGAAATAGACTAAACCCCTCACCAACACACCACACACACCACACACACGGAAATAGACTAAACCCCTCACCAACACACCACACACACAAAAATAGACCAAACCCCTCACCCACACACCACACACACAAAAATAGACCAAACCCCTCACCCACACACCACACACACAAAAATAGACCAAACCCCTCACCAACACACAATACACACCGAAATAGACCAAACCCCTCACCAACACACCACACACATCACACACACGAAAAAAGACCAAACCCTTCACCAACACATCACATACACGGAAATAGACCGAACCCCTCACCAACACACCAACACACCACACAAACGGAAAAAGACCAAACCCTTCACTCACACACCAACACACCACGCACACGGGAAAAGACCAAACCCCTCACCAATACGCTCCACGCCGTACAATTGTCCTTTATGTTAATAATACCTTCATTTAACAGCATGAAATACATCAAATCAACAATTTCATGGCAATGTTATAATTAACCTTAATTAGTATATTTATCTAAAACTAAAATTAAAAATAATCGGTATAATGACGGCAAAGGACATTAAATCGATTTAAAAAAAAAATTAATCGCTATTTAAAGTGGTTAAATTTTCGTGTACAGTAAAATTTCCGTTTCCGATCAAATTTCAATTTTGGGATATAGTTTTCTTTTCCGGAATGTTCGTTTTTTTTTAAAATTTAA